GGGTCCCCTCTCCACAGATCTGATCCGTAAACATTGAGATATGTTTAATGTCATAAGGAATAGTATTCTCATGGAAACAAGCACGTGGCAAACCCTCTATCAGAAAAGTTACTTAATGCACCTAAATACATAATCATAATCAGTAACAGATAAGCATAAAATGTGACACAACTGCCATCAAACATAACCACATAACGCATCAGCACACACTATGTTGGTAAGTGTTTTGCCCAAGGACATGACAAGAATGCATCCTTGAGCACAACTGTACAACCTTGATATCTGTGGTCTTTATCAAAAAGCTAAACATGGAGCTTTTGCCCGACATCAAATACGATACCAGATATACCCATCTACATCTAGTAAACACTTTGAAGAAAATTCCCATTGCTAACTTGCTCCAAAAAAAACCTCTTAAATATTTCAGTGTGGGTATTTAAGCATCCAAGCCTGCTATTTCTGCGTATCCCTCACTGCCCACAATGATCTGTCCTTGGCCTCAAAATGCAAAACATAAACAAGAGCCTTTATACAAACTTCGCAGTGGTGAAAGCACACAAGGACACCCTGCATATGTTGACATTGTCCTGTGTCCATGTGGAGGATAGCAGGAGGGGAACGCCAGGGGAAGTTTCTATTTGGGGAAAAAAGGGAAAAACAAACAATTTGGATTTTTACAGTGGAGGGCGGAGATTTATTTTTGTTTTATAGTTTTGAATGAAGCCACAATTGTGCTAGTGGAGTCTTCTATGGTGGTGGTCAACATTTGGGTGGGCCTGCTAAAACAAGGCAAATTTGATCACTGTTATATGATATTTACAAACTAGTAGTAACCCCAGTACAGGAAATGTATATGCAATTATTTAAGTAAGTAGATCCTTGGCTGCAGAACAGTATATTGGTGAGATTTAATGGCTTCACGTATTCAGGCTAGTAAAATGTAATTTGGTCTTAGGGTTGACAAGTTCAGACTAGTATTTTAGACATTTGCATGGGTGCTTTTTATACCCTAAAGTCACCTCTTCCTGAACTCTGAAAAATGTTCAGAATCTGTACCAACATGTCTTTTCTTTATATTAAATGTAGCCCAGACAAATTCAACCATTATGTGAATCAAAACAAAAAATATCATGGCCGATTTTTACAGTTGTTTATTGGATATAGTGAATGACTACGGCTGTTTTACAGCTTGACAATTTCAAATGTCCAAACTCACATGAATACACTCAGTGAGGGAATACGTAAGTCATAAACTTATTGAAATAAGCGTGTGCTTTTATCATATTTATGGCGGACCCGTGATGGCAGACCCGTGGTAAATAGAGAGGGAGGGGTAGTGGTGCAGAAAAGTGCGCTCTGGTCATGGGGGGTAAGAGGGGTGATGGGGGTGTTGAGGCCAGCACTGTGACCAGGCTCAGGGTTGTGACAGTGGCCCATATGGAGAGCACTGGTGCGGGGACAGACTGAGGCTCACTGCAGCCTGCATAAAATCTGTTAGACCCAATAGACTACAGTATATGCTCAATAAAACGCCTGATAAATGTTACTGGATCACTGGATGTAAAAATGTATTATAATATGAATTTGAAGGTACATTTTATGGTTAGTATTGCCTTCCAATAACATTTAAACTTGGGCGGCTCATTTACAAACTGCCCCAACTCATTCTTCTCCTAAACCTCCACATTTCCATCACTTACATAAGTGAATTCTATAGGGCAATGTCTTTCTTCAAGGTCTGAACATTTTGTGAAACCACTCTTTCCAACGTGCCCCTCTCCAGAAATGCTGATGATGCATTTTTCCCCTTCTCTCCCCATTCCTCCACTATATTTCAGCTCCTCTGCTAAATGAATCAAAACTCAAGACCATTCATGGCAGAAATCACTCTCCAAAGTTGGCAAAAAAGTGCCTAAGTGATTTGACACGTGCACATACATAAGTTTTGCAGCTGCCGTGATGCAAGATATTATGGCCCTACTTAATGACTGAGGGCATTCATTCCATTGGGTTTGGGCAATGCCGACTTGAGGCCAGACATTTTACAAGCCACAACTATGCACTATACTCTAATAGAAAGTGCTACCAGCTGCCCCTATCGACGCTATGGCCCTGGAGGCATGAAAATCTGTCACTTTCCTTTAGGTAATGATTTGGGAATTACTATACATGCAAACTTGTGTTATAGTGTCAGGAGGAACTAAATGACATATTACATTGGTCCTGGTTCTGTGGTACAACTACTTTGAGATGACTGAGTATATATTATATGTCTGAATTATATTGATACTGGTTGGATTACAGATTCAAGTTGAAGTTTACCTTATAGTCATGGTTCCTGTTAATTTAACTTCTTGCTAGTTAACAATTTTAGTTTTAGATTTGCTTGGTTAAGAAAAGGCAAAACAATAACAGACTATGCCAGAACTGATAATAGACTAAAAAGACAGTGAGATCTAAACTAGGATTTATGAAGTAGTAAACTGTGTCTGGGACTGAACCTGGACTAAAATAAGATTTAACCAGGATTAAACTGCAATGAAACCAGAAATAAACTGGGTCTAAAATAGGACTAATCAAGGACTGAACCAGGACTAAATCAGGGCTTAGCTTTAACCGGGACTAAATCAGGGTTTAAACAAAACAGGATTAAACCAGAACTAAAACAGATATAAACTTGGGCTAAAGCAGGACTAATCAAGGACTGAACCAGGACTAAACCCGGTCTTAGCTTCAACCACCTAAACCAGAACTGGAACAAAACCCAGAATAAACTAGAACTAAACCAGGACTAAACCAGCAGATGTCTTGAACTATTGCCCATTCGGTAGTTATTCCCAGCTGGCCTAGCCTCGCTGCAGTCTTGTGCGCAGCTGGAGGACTTTTAGCTGTAACTTTAGTTGAAACCAGAGCTCTCGTGTCTCATAGCCTCTGCCCAAGTACCCTCACGTCCCATAGGACACAGTTACCCCAAACAGTGACCCCTTTGCCCTCTGTCTGTCAAGAGCATCAACACCAAGAGAGACGAGCGTCGCCACAGCAACACTGAGCTCCACTTCTGCCCTGAGAGGTGAAGGAGCTACTCAAGGTCAAATATAACCATGTCCATAGAGGACAGCAAAAAGGGCAATAACAATTTGACTTTTTGTAAGTATACACTGTGTTTCCAGTTTGAGAAAAGTTGTTTACTCTCATGGTATTTATTGCTATATTTTTTAATTATATTATCAATGTCAATGTCCACATGTCTTGTACCAGATCCAAGCGAGCATTCTTCATGAAAACCTTTCTGCCAAATCAACATTATAAAAATTATAAAACTTTAATGACTATTTGAGAAAAAAGAAGACATATTATGTAAAACAGACTTTTAATAGCTTTCAACCATGTTCTAATGCTTTCCACTCATCATGAACTTACTCAGAGTTGTATTTTGCTTGATTCATGCATGTATAAGGAATCTTTATTGTCCAGCATTCAAGTCAACTTTGCTCTAAAAATGTCCATTTTCACCTACCCCCTATGCAGCCCTAGTACATGTAGGGTTCAACAGCATCGCATGGGCAATTTTGCAAATTAAAAATATATTTCTGCTTGCTACCATAAATGGACAGAGCTACAGCATTAATTTGGCTCCTTTAAAATTGTTTGCATTATAATATATTGTTGTACTGTCTGATCAACTTGATGAGTTCCACTTGTAAAGTGTAACAGACCTACAAACTGTATGTAGTTATATGTACGTGCAAATTACTCTGAGAATGCTGCAAGTAAATTGTCCTCTGGGACCTGTAAAGTATTCTGAATCCGAGTCTAAAAACCTGCTTTATACCTTATCCATCTCGCTCACTGAAAAACAACCATATATAGCAAAGATTACATTTAAAAGCAAAAGTCATGAAATAGCCTTAACTTGTGCAAATACAGAAGCAAATGTTAGCCTATTTGCAATTCACACTTTATGTTAACCTTAAAACCTTGTGGATTTGTGGAAGAAACAGGTCTTATGTGACAGTGCATAGTGGCCTCTCGCACTCACTGGCCTCATTCATGCCCTAATGCTCTCCAGCACCTCAGGAAGGATATAGTGTGGCTGCAAGGGACTCCAAGGTATATATGTCTAAAGAACTGTACTTAGAAGCTGAACTGTACTTTAGAAGGGAATACAGTAGGAGTCTGTCACTGTTGGTTATGTAACAACTTGAGCTCAATTTTGACCTACCATCATTCACAAATTATAAGAAAAATTAAAAACACTGGTAATAACAGTATGGTCTTCAATTAAAGTTTCACTTTAAAAAAATCTAAAGTTTACTCATATGACACTCAATGAACAGAGGCTTCGACAGGCACTGACAAGCAACCATGCTCACAAGAGAAAATTTATCAATTTGATATTTTTTTCTAACAAATAAATGTAAAGAGATAATTAAACTAGTTTTACTTTTGACAACATTTTTGTAATTTTGTGAACACCTAACAAAAACAAACTTTGAGGTGGGTCTGCAAGATTAATTGCAATCATATCCTAATATCAATAGGAATGGTCACAATTAAAATCAAAGGTTGCAATTAATTAGTAAATAAAATATAACAAAAACTCCATTATGTTAAGAACCTGCTCTGACATAACTTGCCTGCTAATGCTCCTTTAACTCCAGGTCTATGCGGAATCTAATGTCCTTTGAAATAATAAGATGCAAATGACCTTATTCAGTCCTGCCCACTTCTGCTTCTAAATGCTACTGAACTATACTTTCGTTACGGTGGTACTTGTGATTAAGAGGGGAAATCACATTCTTTTCAACGGGGAATTTAAGCTTTGCTGCTAAAATATGATATAAAGTAGGTTGATTTCTATAAAATGTTCATATGCATCAAGAAGAACACTGCACGCCCATGGCAACTTCCGGAAGAGATGAATACAAAAAGAAACCAAAAATTGTAGACCCTCTAACGCCCCTACTGGACTCTTAAATGTAAAGGCACTTTTTACTCACTGTGAATGTCTTGGCACGGCTCGGCACGGACAGGACAAAGTACATGACGGCCAGGTTGAGGTAGGCTGATCTGTAGGACCTGATGTTCTGATGTCCCTGCACCAGTTTGTACAGCTCCACACACATGAGGCCTGACACAGCTGCTGTTGTTGTGGCGATGGCCGGGATGATCCTGCCTGCAATACGCTTACTCTGAAGAAAGAGAGGGGGAAAATGAAGTTAGTTACACTTTTTGTGCAAACATGCATTTACAGACACATATAAACCTTAGAGAAATTAAGTTGTCAATTGTGTTAGTTTAACTGAGTAATTATGGAATTATTTAAGTTATTCATAGATGTTATTCTATCTGTAGACATTTGAACAGTTCCGTTTTTCTATGTTTTGCCATACACTGACTGTGAATTAATCTAATTGTGTACATTGTTTATTTTTGTTTCTTACGCATTTGTTTCTTATCCTTGTATAACAGAGACATTAGTTTTAAAAATGCTCTTGTGAAAGGACGTTGGAGTTTTCACTGAGCACTGGTATTGTTACTTTTGTTTGAGGGGATTTAAAACATTTAAAAACCAATCAATAAAATCAATAACTACCAAGCAACAAATTCACCAGACTCTTACCTCCTTCAAGAAGAGAGGTTATGATGACAGATTTTTCAGTGAGAATAAAGATGTAAAAATGTACAGATTAATTTAATACAGTGTGTGCAGATGCTGAGATGGTAATGTCTTTGAAAAGCAATAATTTTATAGCCTAAATAATTTGAGCACAGCAATTAAATGGTTGTCCTTTTTAGGCTGCATCCAAATCCAATAAATCAACATGTCAAATCAATACACAGACCATTGCATAATGTAAAGAATGTAAAGAAGATAATTGGGGCAGGTGACTCTGGCAGAGGAAAGAAAAGCTTTTATAATATGGTTAAAAAGCACAAATTTCCACTTTTGTTTTCTATATAAAATGTCCATAGGCCTTGTTATCATAAGCAACATCAAACATGGCAGCTATGAGCTCTGATTCTGCCCTGTAAAGTGAAGGAGCTACTCAAGAAGGAATATAACCAAGTCCATAGAGGGCAGCACAAAGGGCAAAAAGAATTAGACTTTTCGTAAGTATACACCATGTTTCCAATTTGAGAAAAGTTGTGTATTCTCTTGCTATTTACTGCTATATTTGTTATTTATAACAAATATTTATATTTTACATGCAACATGTTTTTGTAACAGATCCCAGTGAGCATTCTTTATAAAAACCTTTCTGCCAAATCAACATTGTATTAAAAATAACGACTATATGAGAAAAAAGACATGTTACGTAAAACACATTTTAATAGCTTTAAACAATGTTCTAATTCTTTTCACTCATCATTAACCCAAACATTGTATTTTGCTTGATACATGCATGTATGAGAAATGTTTATTGTACAGCATTCGAGGCACCTTTGCTCTGAACATTTCAGTTTTCACCCCTATGGAAATCTCCACATTTGTTTTCTATATAAAAATGTCCATAGTAAATGATAAATGGTCAGATTTTTATATAGCGCTTTTCCACCTTCAAGGCACTCAAAGCACTTTACAACAAGAAACCACTCCACCATTCATACACTAGTGTATGCAGACACTAGGGGCGAGGTGGGTCAAGTGTCTTGCCCAAGGACACAACAACAGTATTCATTTGTGGGAGCTAGAATCACACCGCCAACCTGTGGGTCTGTGGATCTGACCACTCAGTCAATGATGTTTTATGTTGAGAGCAGTATGCGAACTGCCAACCTTTGGATCAGGTTGTTGTCTTAATTGCAGTAAATCCCAAACAAGAATACCTCATTTTAAAGATATCTGAAAAGTTCTTCAGCTTTTACCATGAATCCATAATCAATATGTGTCATCAGAGTGCATTAGGCGCACTTCTCTTATTGTCCCACTGTAAACCCTCTTTTGTGCCCTCCCACCCTGACCCCCGTCCACCAATCTAACCCCCCCTACCCCCCCTGCCTCTCTCTCTGCGGTCAGTCTGTGGCTGCAGAGGCGGTGGGCTCAGGTGTCACCTCCCAGGCGACAGGTAAAGTGCTGTGATTAGTTCAGCTCCAGTAACAATGGGCGAGCGTCTGTTATTGTGGCTTTGGGGCAGGTGAGCGAGGCAGAAGGAGGGGGGGTACCACGGAGCAGTTTTAACATCTACAACACTCAAAATCTGCCCTTTGATCTGAAACCTGCTGCTGAAATGGAAAACAAGCCGGTGAAATGACTGACCTCGTGACGGTCCACTGCAGGGATGTCGTAGTTTTCGGCTCGCAGGTTGGAGGCAGCTGTGATGTAGTCTATGTGGAAGTTACTGTCATCATCCTGGAAAATGAAGGCAAATTAACACATAACAGATAATTAGAGCTGGATGTCTATCATTTGTCTACCATTTGTCCATAATCTATATAAACGCAGTCGACCATATATTAAATTGGAATGAATTACGCTTTTATAATTCTGTTAATTTGACTAATTTTCACTATTTAACTAATTAATGATTGCATACTGTTTCTTTTCTTTTTCTGTGAGGCATATTTATAGAGATGTTCTATTTCTCCGCCCCATTTCAAAAAGCAATACCATATTATACAAGAGGCAATATAAATTTGAATTACAATGCTATTTGCAATGTCGCATAGACTTTCTTAACAACAATATTGTAACCAAGTTCATTTAACACAAACCTGGATTTAATCTTATTTTATTGCATTTCCAGCACATTAAAATAAAATACCAAAAAAATAAACATTGAGGATTTCTGATCATTCTGCTGTTGCGCTTTGAAATGAAACAGAAAGTGTCCTGACATCTGCCTAACATCTGACATCATACACTGCTGGGCACATCAGAGGGTTTGTGATTGATGTGTCTATGGTGATCTCATGAATGCCACAACCACACAAAGCCTGTGTAGGTGACAGTCGCTGAGGGGGAGAGGAGGAGGAGAGGGCCTGGAGGGGCAGTGAAGAAGCTCTGAGCCTAAACCTGATCCACCTAAAACGCACCTACACACATTCCTCTGCCCACCGCACGGACACCACGTTTGGGATAAATAATGGACTGGAGTAGCCTCAAGATGTCACCTGATCTGGAGATGGGTTACCTCACACAAATGGTCTACCCAGAACCTCATCTAGACTGGATCAAAGTGGTTTACCATCAGGGTCTTTCCATAGTTATTTAGGGAGGTCCCATTGTAAAAGCCTGCAGACCAGTTATATTGTTTGTCCAGTTACACGCATTGTTAAGTTCTAAATAAAGAAATCTTTAATTATGTTTTAATCACATTGCCAAATAGATTACCATTTGTCTATCATAGCATTAGCTTTAAGAAATAAACTTGCTGAATTACACAGATGATAAAAATACATGCTTTTGGGTATAGAGGAAATTGAAATGGCTTGACATTGCTTTTAAAATTTAAAACTGTATTAAGGTTAGTGTTAGGCTTTTGTGTCCTAAATAAAAATAATAACTGAATAATCTTGACATTCCTTGTACCAGAGTAAAAGTACAAGAACATTACTTGAAAAACTGCTGGTAATAAAATTTATTTTGCATTTATTCAATATGTATTGCTATTTATTGCTGAACTAGCGCTAAAATGATTTGTTCTAGTATATTTGTTTACTCAGATTCGCTGAATCTGTAGTAGAAGTCTAAAAGGCTTTTGTACTTGCACTTGACCCATCATTCAGTGCCACTGCTTAACCCAGTATGCCCTGTGAATGCATCACGTCTGGTTATATTTTCAGGAGACCCTCTGAAACACAGGCAGCCTTTATGCCTTGTCTTGTAGAAGTCACAGCTTTGGGTCAGTGATGACCAGAACCAATAGAGAGGAAGCCCCTCACAGGATGCCCCAACAGAAGAGCACCGGACTCCTGCTAAGGCCCGGCCGCCGCTCTGTCTGAGGGAATACACAAGAGACAGGGAGAGACACAGAAAGCACACTCACCTTCTCAAACTCCACAGGAAACATCTCTATCGTCAAGCTTTTCAAGGACAAAGAGGAAAGCTTCTGCTCCAGCTCCTTCAGTTTCTCTTGGTCTGCAACAACACCCAGGCATGTTAATGGAAAATATTTGTTAAAGCATAAAGTTAAGGGGAAAAAAAAAACATTAACTACTGTACATAAACAACTAACTAGTATAAGGTAGAGAGAATAATACATTACTATTATTTGCATTGGATGTGTTTTTGCATATACTCTTTTGGTCCTTCATAAAACATTGACATTGTTAACATGTTAAAGTACTGCATGAAATAGGAACACTTCAGGTGGATGTTAAAGATCCCATGGAAATGCATAACTATGATACTATACTAACATTACAGCTAAAGCAATAAGATGTCCATGGAGACAAGCAGGTGACAAACCCATCCACTATCCAAATATTTTACTAACAAGCAACTCTGTGATCTACCACCCACCGACTTCGTCTCCCCCTCTCTCCTCCATCTCTTCATCGGTCACTGGGATCTTCAGACTTTGAGGAGTGAACTCAGGGACAGGGACTCTCTCCAGGATTTCTTTGATCAAAGCTCGGTCTCTGGTGCCACTGATGCCGAAGGTTTGTCCATAAAGGTTAGCAGCAGCCACTATAAAATCCATATGTGTCACCTAAAACAATATTAGTAACATAAGAGCTGTCATTAAGAAAAATCTTAATCAAATCAAAATCTGAATTTTAGTGGTCACAATTAGCAAATCACAAATAGTGTATTTTAGTGTAAGTAACATGCATCTAGTTTTTGTCTTATGTAGGTATAACATCTTTAAACCCTGTAAATAGACCTATACAAAAATTTGCAAATAAAAAAAAAATGCATAGGTTTCTTGTGATAGGTAATTTCAGTCTTTTCTTTAATGCTCCGTGTTTAAAATGTGTACGTTGAACTGAATCTTAGTAATAAAACTTTGATCACAATGCTACCAGAAATTGTAATTAGATTTTTACTTCTTTCAGTCGTAGTTCATGCCATGGAAGAAAAACATCATACACCATTTAAATATAAAAAATTATTCACACATTATCTTATGTGAGAATTTTCTTCCAAATAAAAACTACATACATTTATTTAGCTGTTGCCTTAGTTAATGTCATTACTGTGTGTGATATGAACTGTTCCCATGGAAAGTGTATGTTCAGATAGGCATCAGTCCCACAGTGTAAATAGCCCAGTCACATTAATGATAACAATCTGGTACATGAGTCGCAATCACACAAGATAAGTGAGGAATGATGACATTTGACTGAACTGTTTTTATACAAGATCATTCACATGAATCTCTGAAGATAAAACTACATTTGGACCCTACTCACATTGCTGGGGTCAAAGGTGAGTGGATGAGGGCATCTCTTGGTTCCAGACCAGAAAGGAAGTCCATGAGTGGTCAGCTAAGCAAAGACATGACAAAATCTGTTAATATATACATAGTTAAGTTGTAAACAATGAAATACAGGTACACATAAGAATAATTACACAACTTAAGTTATGGTTTATTTATTTTTTTTTTTTATGTATGCAAGATATTATGGCATGAAGGCCTTTTTTTGCAAGAAATTTGAGTGAAATAGGGAGAGTGAGACATGGCAGTTGCAAAGCCTCACAATATCACCGGTGATCACTTGCACATGTTATGTTAAAAGTGGTTTCTTTTGGATTATTCTTATTATATAATCTGTGCTTGCTTTACCTGTGTTGTCTCACCTACTTTAGGAGATAATGTAGGTGACTAGATAATGATATTCTGTGCATGTTACATTAAAGCTAATTTACCAAAGACCATAATTACCACCATAGAAGAACTATCATGTGTAGTAAAAAGTAAGAGATTTTACAGTTTGCTTTTTGTTGATCCACTAAAATGCATTTAAACACTGATCTAATTTATTGAGCCCTAATTATTTCTTAGATAGCAAATCCAATAGTAAAAAGAGAAAGCTAATCTTTATTGATTTTAATCATGTCTAATCCTGTTAACAGACCATAATCAGATAGTGGTTCCTTGGTGACTACAGGAGACACAGACTGCTATCAGCTGTGGAGTCTCTATAACGTCCAGGTCTGATAGAGGAACAAAGGGCCCTGGGGCTTTGAAGTGGCCAAATTGAGCATATGCTGCAGAGGAGAAAGTCTGCAGTGGTGTGGCTCTTTTCACTGTAGGGGATCTGACAGCAGCAGCCAAATGGTGAGATCAGCTGAGGCAAACTGTGTCTGCGTCTTCTAAATACAGTGTTATTGCTTTGTTTGAGAAGTTATTTTTGAGTGTGGGTTTCTCTATTATGTCTACTGGTCTTCTTTCACACTCATAAAGATGCATAGAATCAGAGAGTCACAAATAAATGTCAAAAGTCCATATAGACTATCCATTTAACTTTAACATACACATTATTATACAAATCATTAGAATCACTACATTTATGTTGTCAGTGTTTTTTTGTTTTTTTTTTCCTCACAAACTGTCACTTGACTTGATCAGACTTTATACAGCACTTTAAGAGGCTATAGTGGTGCAGAGTTGGGCAAGAACAATTTCAGAGGATACAGAAGTCATTTGAGGCTTAATTTGAACATAATGATGTGTGGATGTTTTCTATTTACAAACAAGATAAAATATTATAAATGTTATCACAGTGACAGTAGAGTACTTGCATTTAGCAAATTGGAAGTATCATATTTTTCACCACAGACAAGAAAATATCATGTTTTATGCTGCAAAAATCCTGCCACCCCTGTAGTCTAGATCTGTACAAACATGATCTAAAATGGGATTCTTGTATTAGTTTTTCAGTTCAGTTTTAGTATTTTTGTCTGGTTTTCTGGAGGATTTTAAAATGTGACCTTTAAATTGATTCCTATTATTAAAAAAACATGTGACCCAATATTCTCCTCTCGAAACTGGAACGACATAGGGCACGCACACACACTTACAAAGAGCACACTGACCTATGCCCTGAATTACAAAGAACAGGGTGTAATTTTACAATAACAAGTTTCCATTTATAACCAAATGTCATGTTCCTTCTTCCATAAGACCTACTGCAAATGCCAGTATTGCTCTGATGTCAGTTCTGAGCCTTATCACCAACCCAGCGCTTCACTTCCACCCAGAAGTTTTTGCGTAATGGACCTGATCTAGTTCCGTTGAGACCGTTACTGACCTCTCCCATGAAAGTTCCTCTAAAGTCTGTGGTTGACTTTATTATTGAGTTTTATTGTTTTGAAACTTAACTGTGAGAGAGAAGAGAGAACAGCACCAAAAAGAGAACTAAACCACAACCAGCAGCCAATGTGCATTTTGACATGTTAGGGCGAAACTAAAACAAGACGAATAACAACAATTCCTCCAGTTTTGTTTCCTCAAACTATTATTATTTATTTTGTCTCTGTGTGGTTATAGTGAATTGATATTAGGACAGTGTAATTAATAACATTTGCAGAATCCAAAGTGTGAAATTATAAACTTAATAATTTGCCATAGTGCCAAGTCATACAGCCAAGTTCCATTAAAATCTGTGTGCTAATACTATTATAAACTAAACATGGGGTATAAGTGTTTCAGTTTTAAGCAGCTAAAATCTGGAATCGTCTTTCTGAACATGTGAGACAGGACTCTACTTTGACCATGTTTAAATCCAGGCTCAGTTTTGTTTAGCTGTGCAGCTGCTAAACAGATTTTTACTCTGCACTCTTCTCTTTTAATGTTTTATGATTATTTATGCTTTGATTTGTTTGTATTGTGAAGTGAATGTCTTTCAAAGCAGTTTGGATTACTTTGTGTACGAATTGTGCTATACAAATAAACTTGATTTGCCTTGCCTTGCCTAAACACCACATGTCAATAAACAAATATATTGCTCAAAAACCAATCATGTAATCATTTCCGTGAAGGTTAGAAGCAGAGAGTTTAGTTATTATCTGGTAAACATGTTTTTTCCCATTGCACTACCTTGATTCATGATTCATTTTACTGGCCCGCCTGATCTAGATTTATCAGAATGACAGTCCTGCAGAATCACATATGTTGCACTCGCAGAATCCCACCCCAGTGCAGAATGTTAAGACTGAGGAATTGAGGAATTTGAAAGTGGGACCGGGGTCACTGAGGGTCTGTTTGCACTGACATCGATCTATGCACCCCTCACCCCCCTCTTTCTCCCTTCTTCCCTCTCTCTCTCTCCCCCACCTCCTCCCCTGTGTCCACTATATCCCATCTTTCCCCCAGGTGTGACAGGACCATGTGACATCACTCTGTCTGCATGCTTCGGACGATTACAAACCCGCAGAGATTTTTATCTGTGTGCAGCTTTCAAAGGTTCGAGTTACTGATACGTGGCACATGACCCAAAGTACTACAGTCCCTCCTGGTGTCAGTTCACTCAACAGCTGACTTATCTTTCCTGGTAGATGGATCAAAATTGTATTACCTGCTGACTTCTAGATTTTAATTTTACCTAAATATGCAGGTATGTTTTTATTAAGGAAATAACATTATAACAATCAGAAAATAGCATAACATGGGTCCTTTAAACCATGGAAAAAGTGTTAGATTTCACTTTCTTTGCTTTTATTGCCTCTTCAATAATAATAGAAAATGGTGGTGGTAAGCTTCTTCTGTCGTCACAACTGTCCTGGAGTAGACTGACAGAAGTCTGAAACATTGACCCCTCCACCCACCACCAACCATTCTCTCAAACACTAAATTCAAACAAAAAACTGCTTATTAAAAATTGTACAAACTTCACTTTTATGTGATAATATATTCAGAAGCATCTATAAGGGGAACAATACACTACTACTTAATACACTACTTCTAACTACTATGTCTAAGCACTCTAAAGCATTTAGTTATAAATAAAAATGAAAATGCATATTATGTTGTTTTCTGTGGTACCTCATCAGGGGGGAAGCAGTGCAGGAGTTGGCGTATGTCATTGTTAAACAGAGTCTCCCACTGGAGTCTGGCCCAGTGCACACAGCCCTCCCAGTTTAAAGGACGTCTGCCTCCAGAGGACAGCTCCTCCAGGCCGCCCCACACCTCTGTGAACACTTGCAGAGCCTCCACTTCCCCACGGCCGAGAGTACGAGTTATAAAGTCCTCATCTCTGAAAGAAAATGATATATTAGAGATTAGTAGGGCTCAGGTCTTTTTTAGTATAGTCAAAGGAGTCTTAGTCAACCCAGTTTTTTTAATGTTCGACTCTTTATTTTATTAAGATTATAAGGATTTATATTGACACAGAAAGGAAACAGATGGAGAGAGTCAGCTGGAATTTTGGTGTTACTGGATAGTTTAACCTGCCTTTTAATTATTTTTAGTCAATTAAATCAATGTAACGAGAATCCCTTTAGTTGACTACCTCCCTAAACATGTAATTTTTCTGACGAAGGGTCCAACCAACTGCTTCATCGAGACAAGCCAGTCATAGCAAAGCAATACTACACCTATATGCAAGTGGCAGCTCTTCCATCAGAAATGTAACATAGTGTACCTTTAACTAATATATTTATAAAACATACAAAAGATGTATCATAATTTCACATGAATTTATTGTTTTTATTCATTATTTACAAGTGGAGCATCTTTTAAAAGCAAAGAGGCTAAGGCTTAAATATCAATATTTTCAGAACAGAGGTGTAGAATAACAGTCAGTTGTTGAGTCAGGGGGGATTCCTTTAACTCTAGAACATGTAGTCATGATTAATAAGCGGCTGGTTTTGAAATACTGTAGTGTTGTGGTCAATGCAATGCAATCCCATCAGCGCAATATTAGACACATATTTGTGCTGTTATTGTATGTGTCAGTATTTCCCTTGTAGTCAATGGAAATCAACCTTCAAAACAGGTGGCAGGTCTAAACAGGAACATTGGGTTGGGTCAAAGTGAGCCATGACAAAAAGTTGTTTCTTTCCACAAATTCAACATGTGTGATTTAATATAATATGTGGTGTAAATAATAAATTCCATGCACTACTCTGGGCTATTGTGATTTGAAAAAAGTCTTTAAGCACTTTACAATAGGAAGGATTACGTTAAAATCTCCCAAAATAAACAAAGATATAGACCACAAGCTGCCTGGATTAACAGGGCTCCAACACGCAACAGCAGACACGGTTTGGTCTGGACACTTATATGACAGCTTTGAAGTTGGCAACTATATGTAGAAGACTTTTATTACAGTCTAAAAATAATAGATACAAAACACTGAAAACACATAACATAATGGTCATTTCTGTATACTAGTTCAGAATACCGTAACTCAAGTCTAGACCCTTTTAAAATTATAAGGAAATGTCCAGTTTTGTCCTAATTTAGGCCATTTTTCTCATATTGATTCTTGTTCAAATGAGTATATAGCTTTGATTCCAGTTTTAGTCTAGGTTGGTATCTGGGAAAAAAATTTTGATACGCTGATCTAAAAGATATCCAAACAGAATCCCACTGAATCCCACTATTATTTTGTTGAGTAGAGTGTCATCATAGTGGGTGGGTTTGTAAATAAAGCCTTTCATATGAGAAGTTAATAAAATTAATAATACTGAGATATAATGCCCACAATTACTGGTAAAGATCATCAAAAGCACTTTAAAGTTGTAATCCAACCTAGCAATTGCCAGTTACTATCAAACCAATGCAGGGTAAACTTTTTATTACTATTCAAATATAAATAGTTTAGAGATTGTATACTCTAACTTCACAAGCTAATTTTAATCTAGTGCATTTTATTTGAAACCAGAAATTTACAGAAAATAAAACATTAAAGATTACGTGAGGAAAGTGCTTTGTTTTTCACTGCTGCTTTATCGCCTGAAGCCACATGTGTTTGGTGCTAATAAAGCCTAATAATGCGATCCCACACTTCATTGAGTGTTTCTAGCCTTCAGGAATGTGAGAGTGAAACTGCATTGTAAAATTATAGAAGACTGTGTGCAGATTGACTACAGACTAAGAATGGACTTGTTTGAATATAGGGACTGTTATTTTGGATAGTTGTTACTAGTTCTTACCTCTGATACATCATCACATTTTCAGGAATCTGCTTAAATAGTCCCTCAAACTGGTCTCTGGCCCACTGAAAAACATATATATGTAAAAATGTGTCCACAGTGGTACGTAGAAACATGCATTAACCATGGATTGTATATGGTGTTAACACATTACATCCTTGACACATGCTAGAAAAGTTATTTTATTTGATATAAAATGGTTTCAGTTTGCATAGTTTCAACTGATGCTATTGTTTATAGAGCTATGCAATAAAGAATTTAGTCTATACATCCCCTACTGGTTTAACTTCTGATAGTATGTATATAATTGTAGGTCTGTCACAATAACACACTTTGAAGTACATCTTATTAAAACAGAAAATACTGAAACTACTACTAAACCAACTTTTAAATAGACAGCATAATTAAAAAGCCAAAGCTGCAACAAATAACTAGCTGAATGATCCATTAATTAGCCATAGAAGTTGTTTACTCAACCCTCTATGGCTCAAATCTTACTGTATTACATAAAAATGGCAAAAATCTCCCCACTATTGTAAAGAAATTGTACAAGATAAAAATAGAGCCACAATATATATTTATTATTCTCGCTTTCATATACTGAATGTTTTTTCCCTTAATCAATAGCTTTAAGTCCATGAGACATTAACCGTCTGTGTCAGTTTGGCTTAACCTTTTGAAAACTGGACCACTCAGTAACACAATACAAAGAACCAAACAGTCTATAAGTGTTCTTAGTGGGGTACCTTGGTCCCCATTGACTCTGAAAGTGCTGACCCATGCCATCCCGCTCCAGTGGAACCCATCCTGTGCCTCTGCATACCATACCTGCAGTGTGTGCTCTATGCGATGAGGGAAGTTTTTGAGAGTGCACAGTGGGATTTCCTTCTTGGAGCTGGCCTTGGCCGGACCATAGGACTCTGTCAGATGAGGTACCACCACCAAAGCGTGGCCTTTACTGCCCAGAGTGCCCCCCTCCAGCATGGGCTTCTTATGCGCCACACAACAGGAATCCAGGTAAGCCCCTTAAAGAGAAAAGTTTTTCATCTTAAATATTTAAAGCAAGATTTGTTCCTAATGGTTTAAAATGGCAAAGCAAATACAACTGAGACTGAGGCTGTCATTAGCTGTTAACAGTGGTTCCCGATATTAAATTCCTTCAAGCCATTTCCCCGCTTGTATCAGTACCAGTTCATAACTGGAGGGCATTTATTTCAGAAAAATACAATAAGTGGAGTGCTCCTCTCCTTGTAACCCTGTTCCAAAGATGATGACCCAACCCTCTAACCATGTAAAAATATATAACTATGAATTAATCAGCAGAAAAGCTTTTAAGATTATATGCTACTAATGTTGAATTTGAGCATGTTGCCAACATATCTGGAAATACAGTTTTGTGAAATTTTACAATCAATTCTTACAGCTTTTACCTTTCAAAACAAAACTATCTTAAAATAAGCAGTTGTGTCCTTACTGGCTTCCACATTGTCCAGAGCAGCAGCTGCCCCATCCAGTCCAGAGAAGAAGTGGTAATCATAAACTTGCTCACTCTCTGGGGCCAAACGGTTTTGGTGAGCTGTGATGTTCAACTGTGGGTTCATGGCTTTCGCTGCCCGGGCTGCAACATCCGATTTGGGATTCTGAAAAGTATACAACAAATATACTTTCATAACATTAAATACACTGACATATTACCATAGTTTAAAATTCTTATTAAATGGTGTAATTATAATTATAATTATAATTCCTATACGGAGCTGAGATTGGATAGCTCCTATAAAGTGCTTCGCAGTTTCAACAATATGCACCTCATGGGGAGGTGAACATTCAACCTCCCCATGAGCCACTTTTGGGCCCTGATCTTAAATTTGGGAAACAGTGTTTTATTGAGTTGAGTTATCAGCATGTTTCAAACTAACTTTGTTCTAATTGCTTGTTATATAAGCCCTTGTTTAAGAGATGTGCTGTCTGATAGACCCACTTTCAAAACATTCCTAAATCATGTTACACAGCAGCAGATCTGTACACAAACGGAATAAGTTGGACCTGACATGAGTGATTAGAGACAACCTCTGACCCCTGCACTTAAAGGGTCAGACAGGAGCCACTCAGTGAATGTGTTCCCTGTATGTTTGTGGTTCTCAAACTGTGGACCTGGGACCATTTTATTTTAGTTCAAGTTCAGATCTTTTAATGAACTGATATAGTTTAAACAAAGTTTATGCTAATTTGGATAAGCTAGTTTCTTCAATATTTAACCCTGTCTTTGTCAAGTTTTGACTTGATTTGGTCAAAATTCTGATTTTCTACTGCTTTGTTCTCAAGTTAAGTTAATTGATCAACTGATCTGTCAAGCCAGTGAAGAAAGCAAGAAAGTGTGTATAATCAAAATCAATTTGTGTATTTGTGAACAGGGAGGATGTCTGTTCTTTTCCCTCAACTGGATTTAACTAAAGTTAGATTTTTCAGTTTGTTCTGCTGTTGTGACACTTTGGCCAATCAGATTCAAATAGTTTCCATGACATTCTGCGTTTTCTGAACGTTTTCTGCAAGAGCCATCCCAGACTGATGATGTGTGGAACTCAATTCAATCTGCTAGTTATTATTTTTTTAATAAGCACTTGTAGTTGAATAAATGGAAAGTAGATAAAGTTGAATTCCATACTGGAAAACAGTTTAGGCAAAGCAATGACATATTCATGGAGACATGTTGATGGCATTACACAGTGCACCTTTAAAAATAATTGCTTAAAAATATGTTTTCTTAATCTCACCCCAATATCTTGAGATCTGAACAGGAACTGTCGATTCAAGTTTGACTTCTCAATGTGGTCCATGTCTGTTACAGTGATGTGGCCCCCTTCTCCAGCTCCCAGGCCAATTAGAGCAAAGTTCTTCAAAAGTTCACATCCAATAGCACCTGCTCCAACCTAAAACGTACAAAAACAAACAGCAACATTTTCATACATTTGGTTATTTATGCAGTGTTAAGCTGAGTACATATGCAGAGAGTGTCAAACAAACACCATCACAGTAAAGATAATAGTTTGAGAGGAAACAGGGAAAGGCTCTGTGATGTGAGAGGTCAGTGAGTCAGGAAATGCCACTTATATTACAGAGGCTTCCTGCATGTGCCATCATCAACACCAGACCACATCAAAGACACACAGTGGCTCCAAAGCTATTTACTATGGAATATCTTTGGGTTTATATGTCAAAGTAGATTTTTATTGCTATTTAAACAAATTACTAAAATTAAAAGGATGATCTGACCTTTGTTAAACCAGGAATGACACTGCACCTAAACAAGCACCAGTGCATGATAAAAAAAATAAAAATCCACATTTGTGACTAAATTTAAGACTAAACCATGACTGAATAAAAAAAAAAACGATATATGGTCAAACAAAAACAACATGGGATACTAAAATTAAAATGTAACTATGTATAAAAACACACAATTCATAATTTCAATGTCAAGCACAAGTAATAGCCCCATTTAAACCTATTACAGTTTGACAACCACAAATATGAAGCAGCTTTGTGTATTTACAAAAGCCAGTAGCGCCCCCTGCTGATCTTACCAGGAAGTACTTCTGCCTTCCCAACTTTTCCTGGAAATCTGAGCCAAACACTGCAATTTGTCCATCATATCTTGTCCCTTTCTGTAAAATTAAAATGATTCATTATTCTATCAAAATAATTACTCGAAATTACTGTGTTTTAAAGTTGTTAACTTACTAGTGAAAACAAGCTGTCTTCCACTTCTTTGTCATCTTCAGGGAGACACTCCAGTGCATCATAGTAGAACCACTGTTTTAGAGGCATAAACTTGCCACTGCAAGCCTAAAAAGGACCATATTTTTTTTTTTTAAGTGGTGAAATATTTAAGCACCATGCTGAAGAAATGGTCTAATGGTTCATAAGGAGATTTTTGTGTAAACTGCTAATAAAGCCTCAAACATCTGTATATTATATGATATTACAAATGCTCTGTAAACTGTCTTGTGTTTACATCTCTAAGATATAATGACATAACCATAATATCCAAATTAGAAACCAAAAAAATTATATGAAGGCATGACTCTTTGATACCTTTATGACTTCCTGAGCAGCCAGCCCTCCGATGAAAGCATTGAGAGGAGCCAAATCGCCCTGAGCTGTGAACGAAAACTTCTTCACTGCGACTTCATCCAGTTTTTCCAGTTTCACATCTTTGTTCAATTCTCTCACAGTGTCAAGAATCATGTCTGCATCTGACTGTACATAGCAATCATAATATAGCTTATCAAACTACTACAACATGGTAACAGCCACCATTATACCAAGCCATAATATCAAGCCATAATAAAGTCGTAATAAATATGAAATAACATTAATAGACTATTAATGATAATGATAGTAATAATTACGGTTATATAATGATAAATAGTTAATATATACTAAAAGAGCTATTGCCATTGGTTGCATTAAGTCCAGTATGAAATACTAGAATATCAACACTAAAACATAACAGTGTACTACCACAAAGTTACTAATTATTTATTTCTTCTTTTGTGCCAGATGCCCTTCATGGCAGAACCACATAATTCCCCTAAAACACCACCAACAGCACATTACAGTTTTAGTTTTTATTCAGGCAATTGTAGGGGGATTTTTCTTTAAATCAGATGCTCTACCAGACAGAATATTTTCAATAAATTGGTAAATACCGGTAATAATTGATAGTAGGTAAGACACCAGACAAATAAAATTAGATTTAAAACTACTGACCTGACAATGGGGGCGTGGCAGTCTTTCTTCTTTTCTCACAAAGCTGTGCAGGGCCTGGAAGGCCAGATGCAGCGTCTTATGCCTGTCTATTTTCCCAAAGTCATTTGTTATCAGTAGTTCTGGGTCCAGCGTCAGGGTCTGGCTCAGTGATTTCTGAAAGGAATGTAGTTGATGTTGTTTCTTACTTAATGGAAAATTGAGTTCAAATGCCAACACTTACAAAATGAACTGTGCATGGCTGTTTCACTTCAGTCACAATCCCACCACGCTCGTACTTTGAGAAGGAGGAAGTGTCACAAATAGTGAAGGAATAAGAGCCTGAAAAATGAAAACATCAGCTTCCATTGTGAAAAGTATACAACCTTTAAGGTGCACTATGCACTATCTCCATGGAGATGTTATTCCTTTGCTTGAAAATTTCCACACTATGGCATTAAACTTATCTATCTTTCATTTGTTCAATTACATATATTTTTATTGCGCTAAAACACCTTAAAAACATGCATTTTTACAATGAGCACAGTAGCCTCTCTACAAATCTGATCTGTTACTTGGCCTGATGGTGCTACCAGCTTGTCTCCACGGAGATTGATAAAGTTTAGTGCCATAATGAAATGTTCAATCAAAGTGCGCTGAGGTTTCTACTATATTTAAATGTGTAGCACATGTTCTTTGCAGTAAGTGTCCTGTTTCCTCTGTTCAGATTTTTAATAGTGGCCTTACATTGTTTAAAGCTCCAGATGTAATGTTGTAAAAAACTGACCTCTCTCTTTGATTTCCACAGGCCCAAGGCTGTTGAGTTCAGTCATTCCCTGGACTTCAGAGAAAATAACTTTGGAGCCATCTTTAAACCCGTGTCTCTGATCATCACTGCAGATAACCACTCCAGGATTATCCTAAAACAAACCAACAGCTTTGTAAACCTGATTTGTCAGCCTGATTACAACTGTCCTTCCTAATTCTTATCTGCAAAGTTTTTATCAGATGTAGTTATATTTGACCTATGTATAAATGTCAAAGACTACTGGAATAGTCAATAGAGAAGCAATAGAGGAGTGCATAGGGAATACCTGTGAGACTTTTTGGATCAGTACAGATTCAGGCATCTCTCCATCCTGGTCCAACACTTCAAAGGCCTCACCAAAGTCACAAAACAACTGACTGCAAAGACAAACACGGAGTGAGATAAATACATCACAACACAGTCACATAAATATAATTGTGTTTGGAACTTACCCACAGAGCCCTTTGGTGTCTGCAACAATGAACTGAATCCCATTTGAATGGCAGAAGTCTCCAAATCTCTTCTGGTCTTCCAAAGAGGAGTCAGTGAGGACTACCACCTGCAAAAGTAAAGCATATGTAATCTTACCATTTTGTATGCAAAAAAACAGAGCTGGATTTACACTGTGTCATTGTATCTTCAAGCTCTGTCCAGTGAGTCAGACTAAATCTACTAAAAATAATACTTTGTTTTTAAATAACAGAAGTTAGATAAAAATTAAGATTCGGTCACAGATACTATATACTAGTGAATGGACAAGATCTTGTGTGCTAAAAATTCTTCTGATACTGATAATGAAACAAACAACAATGTTATATAAAATGTTTATATAACATTATAATAATAAGAAACACATGATCAAATGACCCCTACTACATACAGCTGAAATAATTTTCAAACCTGAAATTGCATGAGTAGTTCCTGGTCCAGTGGTCCAGTGTGTTCTTTCACTTGGACATGAGGGTTCAATGCCCTCAGGTGCTCCAAGGAACACAGGGCTCTGTTCTGACCAATACTGGATTCATTCAAGAAAAACTGAAAAGACATGGGATATTAGAACAACAGGCTATGGTTTTTAGACACTTTCTAAATGGAAAATGGTGTTATATAGAAACTTAAATGTCTACACTAGGAATGAAAATGAAACTGTTCAAAAGGAAACTAACACAATCAGATATACTGTGTAAATATAGTAGATCTTAAAAAGAAAGCAAATCCTACTTATGTCTCGAATCAACATAAGACCTTGAAATAACATTTAAAGTTCATATTACATTTGACTTTCCTCATACTGTGAATTCTAGCTCTTTTGGCTATATATATATTTTTATTGCCTAATTTAATTTGTCTTACTGTTTTCTAAAAGGTTACTTACTTACTACTACTACTACTTTCACTTTTTATTTTGTAGTAGACTGAGACAATTTTTTAGTGTATGTATGCAACTGTTCTACTGTAAACACATTATAGCTACCCTAGATTAACTGTACTAAAATAAAACATGCTATATATCTATTGCACTTTGACACCACTGACATTAGGACTATGCTGTATAAGCCACTGATCCTTATATTTACATGTATACTTTTCTTGTTAGCCCTACCTGAGAGGAGAGGTCAGTCCACTGGGTCACTCCTTCATCCTGGATTGTCACAGATTTGACTCTAGACAGAATGACATTTTTGGCAATCTCCACCCCGAGACCTCGCATCCCAGCGATGAGCACACTGGCTGTGCCCATCCGGTGCATGGCATTGTGTCCCAAGACATACCTATAGAAACAAACAGAGAGAAATTTTTAGTCTTAGCAGAGATGGGTAGTTCTAGGTAGGCCTGTCATAATAAGTACCATATCTATCAATACATGATAGATGGAACAATATTTTTTTCAATATTTATCTCCTGGGTACTTTTTCTTTGTGCTAGTGGAAAAATGTTGGTTCTCTGTACTCTCTCTCTCTCTCTCTCTCTCTCCCTCTCTCTCTCTCTCTCTATATATATATATATGTATGTATGGGTTTTGTGACTCAGACTATTTAACTGTTGCATTGTCATTTATTTATTGCAGTTCAAAAATGTATATATATATATATATATATATATATATATATATATATATATATATATGTGTGTGTGTGTGTGTGTGTGTGTGTGTGTGTATTAGTATGTGTATATGTATTAGTACTAGTTAGATTTACTCAAGTACATTCACTCACACTGATATTTCAGTAGAGTAGAGGTTTTGGTTACTACTATTCACAATGTAAGTAAATCTACAATAGACAAAAGTAGACAAAATCTTCAAGTTTAAATATAAAGATCATTTTCAGTTGTCCTTGTTTATTCAGATGTCCTTCCAATTACATTAATGTAAAATTATAAATTCAATGTTAATTCCAAACAGTGGACAATGTATCTTAGTAGTTCACTATCATTTCAGTATTTTCTTGGACCAATATTTTTTACTAGAATACAATGTCTGGCACCTCAGAGTCTTAAGTTGATAAGAAAAAGGCTGTGATAATTATTCGTGTGCGAAAGTAATTAAAACCCGCAATAAATGGGAACTAGAAGCACTTGTAGACAGGTGTCAATTCACGATGGTTCTTGACAGAACAGCCAGGTGTAGCAGTGTTTGCAAAACGAAATAATACAATGTAGGGCAGTACTTACAGTTGTCGAGAGTAGAAACCTTCGTCAATATTTGTCATTTTGTTCTAAAAATGTGTAATGAATTACTATTAGACGCACTTAGTTGACCAAATAACGATAAAAAGAGGAAGACAAGTGATTCAAAGGTGACTTCGCGACATTCGAATTTTTCACTTTCGATTTAGGGGGGAAAAAAAGAATACTTTCGGTTATTGCGCGCAATACAAAATGTGGCCACATGAGGGCAGCATAGGACATATAATTAAAAGGTAGCAAATTATTCGTACACATATATTTAGGCTTATTATTCCAAAAAGCAAACCTAAAATGAAACTAGTTGGGCCTATATTTAAACTTTTAATTAAAACTGAAGAGCAGTAAAAATGTAACTATGATATATTCAACCTAAAACTACATTTAACCTACATAAAATTTGAGTAGTCTAGTTGCATTTGAAAATGTTGCCTTCATTGTAAGTAATGCAGACTTACTGGAAGTAAGTCATTGCAATAAACGTAATTTTTTAGTACTGGTATTAAAAAGCTACTGCAAATTAAATTGGGGTAACAGTTCTTCTTGCTCTCTGCTCTGGACTCGTAAAGCATATTTAGTCCATTCATTTATTAGCTGTAGATCTGCCCCACCCAAAAGTGTGAGTTTTCACAGTTTGACTCAGTGTTGTTGACTTTTCCAAGGAGACTGATAATCTTACACTCCGTAGCAGATGTCATTACTGAAACTAAAGTCCAAGAAGTCAGTCTGTTGTCCCTGGAGGTGGTCAAGAATGATTCATGGCTATAAAAGTAGAGGAAGTTGTGTCTGTGAGCAATGAATTTATTATTTACTTTGGGACTTGTACTATGGTTCAGTTTAATCTACCACCTGAGCAATTGTTGATATGCATAGGTGTGTATAGAGTGATTGTGTATACTTATAATGTCAATAATGTAGGCAAATTATAGAGATCATTTGAATATCCAGTATAATGTTTATAATACAAAATGCTGCAAGATCTGATTAAAATTTCAGAGTCTGAAACTTTATCTTAAATGGCATGTTAACATATTTCTGTTGGATTGACATATGTGAATATTGTTATTGGTATACAATATATAATAAAAAATATACTTTTTTTCAAAATTGGCCACAACTAATTTACATGACAATAAGCATTTCAAATACTGCTGTTGTTCTCTTATGCATGACACTTGACACTCATTCACTTTGCCTGTGTAGCTGTATAATATGACTGTGTTGGAGAGGTCAGAGGTCACAGAAGCACAGAACATAAGCCACACATGTGTCAGTCAGCTCTGGGGCAGGTATGGGCTTGCCAGCACCAAGTGTGACCGAGTGATGGATGGACTACTTTAATTACCTCCGCCAAGGTGGTTATGTTTTTGCCGGCGTTTGTCTGTTTGTTTGTTTGTTTGTCTGTTAGCAACATAACTCAAAAGGTTATGGACCGATTTTGATGAAATTTTCAGGATTTGTTGGAAATGTGAAAAGGAAGAACTGATTTCATTTTGGGGCTGATCCGGAAGAAATCCTGGATTCTGGATCACTTTGAAATTTTAGTTAACATTGTGGTAAATGGGGCCAAAAATTTTGTTTCTCAATATCTCGGTTAATTATTGACCAAACCCCATGAAATTTGACTCAGGGATGGACAATGGGATCCTCTTTCAGATTCCAAAGGCTGATCCGGATCTGATCCAGAAGACTGATTTTATCGCAATTTATATGAAAAATGGGGGTAGTCCTTGGCGGAGGTCTGCGCTCTCTGACTGCTTTTCTAGTTAGAAATAATTTACAGAGGTGAGTAGTTACATTTACTCAAGTAAGTCTACTTATATGAGTTGTTTTTTTAATAAAACTGTACTTCCCTGAGTAAATTTCAGACACCAAACGTTTACTTCTGAGTAAAGGTTTTTGCTATACTCATGGGACAACAGAGTATGTTGACAATATTAACTCATTAGAACATTTGTTTCTTACACCACAACCTTTTACTTTATCCTTTGAAAATACCACATTTGTACAGTTTTTTCTATTGCACTTCAGATTATGAATCATGTTATGTCCAGACTTTAGTAGTTTTCCATAATACTTTTTTCTCTTACTTCATTTCTTGGACCAATAATTTAAATTCTACGTGAGTAATGTTTTGTAATGTCTTTTTTTATTTTTTTTTTCAAATTAAGTTAGTATTACTTGAGTACAATTTGGGGCTGCTCTATTACCTCTGATTATCGAGGACATGCATTAATAACAAATTATGAAAAATGCTAAATCATTTGCCGAGAGAGAATCTACTGCAAACTGAGACTGGGCAGGCTTGACTTTCTTCCCCAGACCACATGAATGAATGTTGAAATACTGTCTGGCTCTGGTACATTAAAAATTACTCAGCCGTGTCCTGACCTTTGCATTCATGAGTAGAAGTTTAACTTGGATCTAGATTTCATGTCAACATCATCTTTAGGAAATGAAGACACCGATACTGTACAGTCAATTATACCATAAATACCTTATACAATGGTCCCATATAATTCTGAAGTAGACCACTGTACAAGCAGTTTTGGAAGGTACTAAATGTAATTTTAGGTATCTGTACTTTTCTTAAGTAAATTTGAAAATGCATACTTTTTACATTTACTTACGTACATTTGAGAGAAGGTATGTGTACTTTCTACGCCACAACATTTTCAACATTTTTTAACTGAACTGAAAAGTAAAAGTATTATTTATTATTTACTGAGAAGTAAAACAGCTCGGGGAAAAAACAAAACATTGATTTCATTGTTTCTGAAGCACAGAACAAATTCGAATTCATTTAAAAAAATAAAATAAGAAAAAGAATAAATAAAGTTTTTTTTTTTTTTGTTCCCGTATCTGTACCTTTACTTAAGTAACAAAACTGAGTACTTCTTCCACCACTGTGAATAAATTCATTGTGGATGCTGAACTCAAACGATTAGACTAAACATTCCTGTCATAGTTAACTTAGTTGCTTCTTTTAGCTACTCATCTTAAAGTCATGCATTCTTGGCACAGAACATGCAGCATTTCCTGAGAAAACTGAAAAAGATAACATGGTTTCCTGTCAAGTTACATATAGAGCCAAGTATCTTTTACAAAGGAAGCCACAGAGATAGCTTATTTTTGGAGCGGCCAAAATACATTTCGCAATTTTCCCTTACTTCCTTGTTCCAGGCGCGGCTTGGAGATACCAGGGTACCAGCGGTGTCAAGCGTACAATTATAATCACAACTTCCGAGGACAAAATAAACCTACTTTTAAGTTAATAATTTTATCATCTAACACGAACGAATTCTCAAGTGAAACACATAATCTAATTTCATTTGATGCCTTACAAACAAGCCAGAAATTATTTTTCTTCAATGTCTTAAGTGTGGTGAGGTGTAGGCTAATAAAGTTATTAAAGTTTAAAGATTTTCCAATCTACATTATGAATAAGTAAGGCTTATAGTCTACATAAATACACATATTATACAAAGTTATTTGTAGAGGCAGGATTGTTTAGCTAATTTTTAGCTAATCTATATGAACATACTAGTGTTTTATTGTGAAATCTCACACAACAATATCCGTTTGCGCAGATAAATTGCAATTGCCAAGTCTGGCGCTGGAGTGTCGTACCAGTGCGTAATCTGTGCCAGTGGAGTCTTTCAGCGCGGTTCAGGTGAGTCCATAGATTTATGTAAAATGTTTGAGATGAGATTATCATAGAGAAAAAATAGTCTATGGGCCATGTTAGTGTCATATATGGGACGCTTGCTTTTGTTTTTGCTATAAATTCTGTTTAAGTTGTAGATTGTTAGCCTATGTTTTAACAGGTTTTACCATTCATGAATGACTATGGCCAACGCATTATTCCTGCGCAGTAGATATGTCAAACGTTGTACGCGGATGTGTTGTTTTTTTCTTCGGACAAAACTAACTTGCTGTTCTAAATATCTCCATTTACACACCGTAGGCAACATTTTGTGTTTATTCAAGGCTTCCTCATTCTCAGGACGTGAACATTTCCATAGTCACCCCACGGGCTTCAACAGGTCCTGTCCTGCCCGCTGACTTTATCTCACCCTCAATAACTTATTTCCATCATAAGCTTTTAAGCCATCTGCGCTCTCACTTACACACTGTGGTAGTAGCAGACTTACATGCTGTCAGTTGTTTAAAGATACACTATGTAACTTAAAGGTGCACTTTGTCTGCTACACCATGGACATTTTATTGCCCTCCCAAGAATGTTCCACAGAATGACATTAAACGTGTCTATGTTGCATTTTTCAATTGCATGTGTTTTTATTACTTAAAAATGCATACATTCTGAGATCTACATTGAGTGGGATTGCCTCCCCACAAATCTGACCTACAGCTTTTCCCAGTGACGTCATCTGCTCGTCTCCAAGGCGTTAGTTAAGTTTGTAGTCATACTAAGGAACATTGCAGGCAAAGCTGTAACATCGTATGGCGACAAGCAGGTTGCGCAGTTTCTACCAGAAAAGTTACACAGTGTTCTTTTTATTCCCATTCTCACGTGCTCAATCTCTAATACCAGTGTTCTCAAAAATGGGAAGCAAAAACAGAATTCAATGGTGACATCAAGGTAAGAATTTAGTTTTGCAGCTGAACTCCTACTTTGATAGCTTTGTTTTGTTATAACAATACTTTGACTTGCATTGGTACTGTAGCATTGATCCTACATTTTTCTTATTTTTCCTCCACAGAGCTCCTGCTGATTTTCCATAATGTTTTCATTGAGGGCCGTTTCTTGTAGGTAACATTAACACACCATCTATTGACTGGCTTGGAGATGATCAAGTGGACTGCCTTACTATGGATAATACTATGGATATCACAGAATACACGGGGACAGTACCAGTGTCCCAATCCTATACCCCAGCAGGTAGATTTCAACATAATCTACCAAAACCTCACTTACTACCAAGCAGAAAAACCTATTCAAAATATAGTCGTAAACACAGAAGAAAAAGAAATATACATTGGATCTCAGAATATCATTGAAGGTATTGATACTGACATGCAGAAAATTTGGGAAGTGAAGACAGGTCCTATTGGTAGTCCAGACTGTCAAACTTGTAATTTGTGTGGCATTGAAATTGACCCCTCAGACCCAGTTGACACCGATAATGAAGTTTTGCTCATTGACCCTGCTGGATATCTGCTCCCCTATTTGTATATTTGTGGGAGCACTCAACATGGGATATGTTACTTTATTGACTACTCACAACCACTGGACCAACCTATGTGTCTTTACAAACAAGCGCGAGACCAGCAATTCAACTGCCCAGATTGTGTTGCTAGCCCGCTTGGTACGACAGTGACTATTGTAGAACAAGCGGCCACCTCGTATTTCTTTGTGGCAAATACGGTTGATAACAAAGTGACGGAAAAGTACCCAAGAAGGTCCATATCTATACTCAGACCACTTTCTACTCAGGATGGATTCGAGCTGGTTATGAGTGGTTTAACAGTGCGTCCCGATCTCAGACAATCATACAAAATTAATTACATTTACAGCTTTGCCACAGAGGATTATGTCTACTTTCTGTCATTGCAAAGAGAGGATCCTTCAAAAAGAAACTCACCTTTTAGAACTCACCTTGGACGCTTATCTGTTGCGATTCATGAGGTGTGGATGTACAGAGAAGTGGTGCTTGAATGTCTTTATGTGCCCAAACGGAAGAAGAGAGAGACTACTGCAAGTAATGTGGTATACAATGGACTACAGGCTGCCTACTATGGACGTGTAGGAGATGAACTGGCAAAACAGTTGGGTTTGGATGTTGGCGAAAAGGTGCTCTATGGGGTGTTCTCTCCAGTCAGTGAAACAGGACACATCGGTAAAGCATCAATGCTGTGTGTGTTTTCAATGAAACAAGCGAACCAGGCCATAGACGAGGGAGTAGAGTCGTGCTGCTCTGCGGGCACTGAGCAGCTGTCCAGAGGGCTGTGTCACTTCCAGATGTGTGAAAACTGCCCACATGAGGTGAGTTCATTCATATATTCATCTTTGTTTAAGATTTGTAGAGCAGGCAGAGCAAGTGCGGTTTTATATGGGTAGTGATATATTCCTGAATAAAATATCAACAGTAAACGATAATGAAATGATATGCTACTGAACGAATAGAAGCAGAAGCAAGATTACCCGCCAAAAAACTATTTTAAATGTACTATATCATCCAAATATGAGTTGACTTTGTATTTAGTAGTTAGTTTACACATCAATAACAAGCCAGAGATGTCGATTATTCAAACCTCTACAGCTCAAATATTATGGCTGTACAGGGAAACACCAAAATGTGCCCGACTAGTGCAAAGAAAAAGGGCCCACAAAAAATGTTTATGCCCCAAAATTATTGTTCCCTCTTTGAACAATAAGGAAGTTGATACATTATTATTTTTATTATTATTAAGAAGAAGAAGAATTGTGACAGGCCTAAATATGGGCAAGGACTTGTTATTTTAGGACAGTTGCCCACCATTCACTTCACTGACTAGTTGCTATGTTTTGCAATAACAATTTCCGTCATTGGTCACAAACATGATTATACAGGGCTAGTTTGGACTTCACTCTTTTTGTTGAAATTTTGAGTCCTCTGCTCATGATGGAAATTCATAATGAGTCATTGCTCTCACCATTTGTAAATTGTGGTAATGATACTTTTGTAGTATCACCGGCAAAAAAGGATTTTGCTCCAGGTGTGCATGAGTGTTCAAAGACTTACGCCAGGGAGGGGCTGGTGACTCAGAGCACTGACCTGCGTTTAAAACAGCATTTCACATAAGACTTATAGTAGTACTCTAGTTTAAAAAAGTTAGTCAATTCATAACCACAGGGGTAATAAACCAAAACCTGATTCAGCAGACTACCCATCAAAGCACTGTGAATAGATTTAGCATTAATATACAGATCAAATAATAATGAGGTGAGGTTTATTCCTTGAACTGCATAGACTGTACATAGTCCTTTGAGCTCTCACAGGCAACACACCTAAAGGAATGTGTGCTAGCAAACACCACTCATAAATCCTACTGATAAAAAACAAGGAATTTAAACCAGGGCAGTGTTAACATTGAGTGTGCAATAAAAGTATATGAGAGCAGGAAGCATGTAGAAGAAATCCTGTACTCAGTAATTTTATTGATTTAAGTTTTAAAGTTTCATTTTCTTTAGAGGTGGGTAGAGCCGCGTATAAAAAAAAAAAAAAAGTAAAGTAAAAAGTAGTTGTCCAAGAAATTACTTAAGAGTTGTATGGTATTTTAAACTATGTCACAAGTAAGAGGACATCAAAATAAAAAAAAAAAAATAGTTAATGTAATTGGAAGGACAAAAAAAATGCATAAAAAAGGACCAACAACAAGGGTATAAAAACATAGTACAAAATTAGATTAGTTTTAGTCAAGTTTTAGTCCTGAATTATAATCCTGCTATTGTGTCCTTTGGCAAGACATTTCCCATCCTTGCTTGTATGATGTGTACCAATAAGATGGTCATAAGTACTCTAGACTTAAAGGTGCTTTGTGTAACTTTTCTGGTAGAGGGTTCATCAAATGTTTTTCTCCATAGAGATGTTATTGCTTTGTATGGAATGTTCCACAGTATGGTATTAAACCTTTTTATCTTCATGGAGACCAAAGCAGACCAAGTTACATTTCGGATGTGTTGAGAGGCAGCTATAAAAGCTGAGCTTTAAAACCACCTGTAATTTAATAAATGAAAGGTAGAGCTATTTAATGCCATACTGTGGAACATTCAGAGCAGAGACATAACCACAGAAACAATGTGATGGACTCCCAACCAAAAAGTTACATCGTGCATCTTTAAACTGGCAGCCATGAATGAACAATGCACCAAATCATACAGCAGCTGTAAATAACTTATGTAGTAGTATTCATGGGTTTCAGCTTCCTCTTATATGCAACATTTTGAGACATTGTTCCCATTCAAAATACTTAATATTTTGCTGTGCATTGTAAATAGTAATGCAACGATCCAAAATCCCATGGACTGAGCTGTCTTAGATTCAGTTTCATTTTTAATTAAATAAAAAAAAAATTGGAAAGCACTAATAAAACAAACATTGCACTAGTACTTTTAAGTTGTCTTTACTGTAGTGTAAATTATGTGTTACTTTAACTCTATGAGTGACTGAAAGATCAAATGGAGATTCGTATAGAACAGGGGCATGCTCACACAGGACCCCTCGTTACTGTGCTCTGGAATGTTTACCTTTTACTTTACACGTCCTGTTTAACATTGTATCAACATTATAAGTGTGGTGAGTCATGTCATTTCCCAGATATCTAGTCTATAAGGAAATCATTTGCTACCAAATTAAAGGTGCACTATGTAACTTTTCTGGTGAAGTGTCCACTATCTGCTCATCTCCATGGAAATGTTATTCTATGGAATTAAACTAATGTATTTAGTTATAGCTGTTGTTTTTATTGCTAAGAATATGCCTTGCACTCTTACTGTGAGCAGTTGCCCCTCCACAGATATGACATTTACATTGGCCTGGGGCAGCAGCTGCTTGTATTCATACAGGTAAAGTTTAATGCCATACTGTGCAATATTCTAGGCAAAGCATTGGCATCTTAATAGAGACAAGCACATTGCAGACTCTCTAGCAGAAAAGTGCACCTTTAGGAATGGTTTTAATGTACAGTTCATTTTGGGTTTATACTGCTTTACATTATCATCCACCCACATGTTAGAATCTTAATTTTTAAAACATCTATGTTATTTATATACCTGCACCATCAAGGGTAAAAATGACAAACAATTACAAAAGAAGTTTGTGAAGCCCATCGTGAATTATATAAATGATAAACACTAGTTGAGTCATCACTCCAAAACATACACTCACTTCATAGGATTTACTGAATAGAGAGAGACTAGTTTAGCAGCATTGCTCTATGGAGATGCGACTAAATGTAAACCTATTGAAGCCATAGTGACTGTAGTTTTATAGCCTTGTTCACAGCGTGTTGACATGACCAGAGGCCCACTCTTCCGTTGTAAATGAATTACAATCCTTAGGCTATGTTAAGTGGGAACATCTTGCCAACACATGTATCTGCTGCAATACAATCTTGAAAAGTAAAATTTAAGAATACATAATGCTTTTTCTAGTAATTATTAATAGATACTTTGACATACATACTAAAAACAATATTATTACTTTTGTTCTTTCATGAGGTCATTATATTATATTTTAATTATTTATTGTAAACTACTAAATTTATCTAAAACGGTTTAATAATAGAAAAGGGACCACTGACTTGATGGTATTTCACCCAAGCAAACAGTGGACTTTCATAGTGGTTTTATTTCTCAAAAATTACTATGCAATTTTTCTTCATAATCAAAGTTTAGTATAGGGAACTGGGCAGGGACAGAGGGTAGGAGAAAGCATCAGGATAAAATTCAGAGCATAAAATCAGAGCTAGAATGCAGGACAATTACTCAGTGCAGGAATGAATCAAAATAGAACCTTTGAGTATACTAATAAAAACAGTAAAGGCATGGTAACATAGGTAAAAGCACATGAAAGTTAACTTTCATGTCCCCGTTAAATTGAAGTTTTCTTTTTTCTTCAGAACTCTAATAATACCTGCACTACAATGCCGACTATGGTGTCCAAGCCATTTTACAGACTGGATGTGTTTAACAATGAGATGAGGAACGTCCTGTTCACTTCAGTTCTGATCACCACACATGAACACCTTACTCTGGGACACTTTGGGACATCTGATGGAAGAATATTGCAGGTGAGAAGAACAAACTTTTACCTCATCTACTTTTATATCATTGTCAAAAAATCTAACTCAGATACTAAAACTACCTGATAATGAAAACTAGATAACATCAGATTTCCTGAATACGTTTAGAACTGACTGAATCAGAACTAGTATAAGACCACATAGTAGCATTAAAAAACAAAATTACAATATATTTTATCCATTATATTCTACCAGTTACTAGTTGTTTACTATAATTGTGGAATCAGTATCGACTACCAAGTCTCTTCCTTGATATGAATGGTCACTTTTGAAATTTCAGTATTGTGACAACACTACTCCTTTTAAATACTTTAACTAATAAATACTACTACTTTTAAAACAATATGCTATATACACAGGAGATTTTAACTTTATCTGCCATGGTGGTAATAAAGGCTTTTAATAATTTTGTGCTTTTTGAGTGCCTCGGTCTTTTCAGCTTTGTATTTGACAATGTTCCTGCCCCCTAAACTTATACAGGAGACATGATTTGTTTTACAAAACTGCATTCCCTATTGTTCAAATAACCAGAGTAAATCTGAAATATCCAATAAGTAAAAAATCCACTTTACACTGTCTGCCTGTCCAAAAAGAGTCATTAACCAGATTAACCTGTACACTTTTGCAATTGGGACTGCGGAATTTTTGCACTGTCATTTCTGTTAGAAAACTGAACCAGGAGGAAAATCTACTGATGTAATAGCCTAGTCATTCATTAATGTTATCACTATTCTAACTCACTTTTAATTATAAGGAAAACTTGATTCCTGATGCCACTATCGCAATAACAATAAAATTTTTCTTTTTTTTTAGACTGGAATGTAATTTTCAAGACAGAGTAATAGTAGTAGTAATATTAGTTTCTTCATTATTATCACATGGTTTTGTACTAGTTTTGTTATAGATCAATAGCATTCTAAAACTTTTCACAAAAGGTCAGATTTTGTCCAATTTATGTAATTTGGTTCAGTTGTGATAGTGCAGACACTGTGATGCAGCTTCTCTTTGTATTCCAGATTATTCTGACATTGACCAGTCCCACAGTTTATGCAAACTTTTCTCTGGGAGGTACTCAAGTCTCAAGAACTGCAGCCGTGTCAGAGAACTCCCTTCTGTTTGTGGTCGGAAACAAGGTACTTTTCTCCTCTTCTTTTATCTGCAGAGTTCAAAGGCAAAAGCTATTACAGTCTGCTGCTTCTTTCCATGCTAGAGCTGACCATTTTGATGCTAGACGGTGACAAGATACAATAATTCAGAGTTACAGTTATTGTGATGAAAAACATAAACATTTTACAATTATTCAAAATTATTGACCAAACAGTGAAATCTTAAGTTTCTTTCATTCCTGCTGATTAATACACAAAAGCAGTGTATGTTTAGGTTTTATTTTTTTGGATTATAGATTGAATTAAAATTATGTTATTTAGCTTCTTATGGTTATATTGTGACTTGAATCATTATGATCTTCATTTAACCAAGTAATGTTGGCCCTCTGAATCCCTATTTGATATTAGTGCAAACTTTGAATACCTCATAAAGTTTTAGACATTATCACAACTAAGTCATCTATTGTGCTTAGAGCACGTGAACTATATGAACAAATTACTGATTGCTGAAGCTAATATATTTTTTGTAATTGGCATGATGATAATGACAGCTTTTCTTTTAACCTTTGTCAGAAATCCGTAACTAATATCCCTGAATTTCTTTTTCATCATATTGTTTTTCAGTTGTTCAAGGTCCCTTCCACTGGACCTGGCTGTTCTCACTTTGTCACTTGTGCAAAGTGTCTGACTGCTCCTGTCTTTATGAACTGTGGCTGGTGCTCAAGTGTCTGTTCTCGACAACATGAGTGTAGCACACAGTGGAGCCAAGACTCCTGCCCACCCATCATCACAGAGGTGGGATGTTATCCTAAATCAGCTTTTTGTGTGTTTCTAAACTTGTTAAAAATATTCTGTGAACAACCATTCTTGAGTTGTGTTTTGTTTACTTTATGCATGTTTGAGTTATCGTGCATATTTAGTTCGTCTCCTCAAGAGCACAAAGTGATACCTGATAATTGATAATAACTGTAAGGTTGAAACGCTAAATGCCATACTGTGCAACATTAATAAAACACAGAGTGTGGTTGATTTGCCAATGTTATCTAAAAGATGTGTGTACAGCAGTAGAGTTTGATGCACACTGTAGATTACAAGTCTTAACAAGTTTTTTCCTTAATAAATAAAACACCCTTGACAGTAAGAGCATGGTAGGTAAGTTGTCATACAGTGTAACATTACCAGCAACACAATTAGACCAGCATGCGAAGGCCTGGCAGACCCGTTACCATTACGTTATGAGTCAGTTACACCTGTGAAATACTAAACCAGCCATGTTCTTGTTTATTTGCAGTTTTATCCAAAAGTGGCTCCTGCTGGTGGAGAGACCGAATTGATTTTGTGTGGATGGGACTTTCTGACTCAGCCTCCTCTGAGCATCACTGACAAAACCCACATAGTCACTGTGGGGACAGGCAGCCCCTGCACCCCTCTGCCCCTACAGAGCAGTAGTACTAAGTAAGTACAATAAAATTACACTGAAGACGGTTGCGTGGTTTTGAATAAGTAATCTTGGTTGGTAGAGATTTGAGTTCATTTTTGACTCATTTGCATGATCCTCGCTTTTAGATATTGTTAACAGTTGTTGACATTAAACTTAGGGTGAACATGTTTGACCACTAGTCTTAGCATTGACTAACATCCATGACATTTTTTGTATTTATTTAAACTTTTCAAGCCCTTTTATACATGTCTTCCAAGAAATAACTTGTCTTATTCAGGTGAATATATTTTTACAGTGCATGTGGTAAAGTTACCAAATTCTGGATTACTACTTATATTTTGTTTTGATTGTAAACACTTGGATAACCTTAAATGTCCATAGACGCTTTTGTTTTGTTTTATTTTTTTCTCAACCTTAAACAAGCTAACCCACGCCTTCACAATCGTCACTTCCTTGCCTTGACTCATTCATGTCCTTTTGGTCCCTAAAACAGACTGGTATGCAAGATCCACAAACACAGTCCTACGGATAATGTAAACATAACTCTACAAGTGCATGAGACGCCAGGGCCAAGCCGATTCTCAATACAAGGCCAAACTCAAATGTCGGGCTTTTCCTTTGTGGTAAGAGCAACAAAAACACAATTACATTACATTATGTATATGTCTAGTCTACTTCTTGAACTGTCTATCTCTGTCTATTCTTGAATCTGCACTCCTACAGTTTTAAAAAGGATAACAATCACAACAGAACCTGGGTTGCTACTACTTGACACTGCATATGGATGACACATAGAAATTTTTACACACTCCATGTCTCATGCTCAGAACCTCCTGAATTCATTCACTGAGCTGCAGGGGCTGCACTAGCACTGAATAATGATTAACTGCAGGGGCTGGGGTTTAGGTAGTGAGGATTCAGATTAGAAAGTCCTAAGTGAAATTTAGGCTCATTGTGCTTTCTGATAGGATCATTGTTTCGAGATCAAAAACAACAAATGAAGAATAAGAATAAATCAAAATTACACTTGTAACACTACACTTTTATCAAAACAGGTGCCAACTTTAACAGAAGTAACACCAGACTATGGGCCCATGTTTGGAGGGACATTGGTTACACTAACTGGCAGCTATTTGAACTGTGGGAACAAGCAGCAAGTTTTTATTGGAGACAAGCCATGTGACATTAAAAGGTAAATAGAATAAATCTGTTATTTAGTATTTTTCATATACATTTTTTATATTTATTTACAGTCATTTATTGTTTGTATATGTATATTATTATTTATTTTATTCATTTTTTTACAACCTTTATTACAATTTATTTATTTGTTTTTCAGTGTGAGGGATGAAACCGACTCTACATCTTTGATCGTGTGCCAAACAGCATCTGCGTCTGCTGTAGGAAAAGTCCCTGTCAAAGTGCTCATTGATAATTTCAAAATGCACAGCTCTACACAGTTTGACTACAGAGTCAATCCAACTATAACCTCCATCCAACCTCGGTGCAGTTTTAAAAGGTATTATTTATTATCTCTTGTTACAAGTGTATTACGAAGCATTCCAATATTGTTTTTAAATAGAATTGAAACAACTGAATTTAAATCAATTGTAAGATGATCATTTCTATAATATTAATGTGTCTTTACCAGTGGCTCCAAACTGTGGATCACAGGCTATAACCTGACCTCTGCACACAAAACTGTCATTCAGTACGACTCCCTCAAACCTACTGGGCAAAAATCTTTTCCTCTTCAACAAGTAAGTTCTTCGTGCTGCCCTGGGATAGACTGACAGAAGTAAGGCTGCCAAACACCACCAATGACACAGATACACACCACGTTCACACTATGCAAGGTCTTGCCTAATGACACAACAAAAGTATTCACTAGAATCACTGCTGCCTCACTGTTGCCCCTGATATTACAGGCAGCCACCTAAGTACTAACTTATCTTTAAATTGAAATATTGACCTTTCTTTCACAATAGGCCACCTCATTGCTCTGCCTCTGCACATGTGTTTTCAGGTTTGCAGTGGTCCAGTGAATGCCTCTCATATGGAGTGCAGGGCTCCGGCGTTTCCTGAGGAATTAGTGCAGGAAAAGTCTAACTCAGGTCATCTGTCGATTCACATGGATGGGAAAAATGAGCTGTGGAGTGGACCATTCGACTATCATCCCGACGCCAAAGTCATCCCCTTTGAGTACGATGACCACGTGTTAAAGCTAAGGCCAGATGATACAGAGGTTTCACTGCATGTATGTATCACACTTGAGCTGCATTAAATATTGACATAAATCTGACAGCTACAGCTACTTTCACTAACCACATCTTAAAGATGCACTATGCAACTTTTCTTTTGGGTGTCAACCACCTGCTTGCTCCACATGCTATAGCTTTGCCCGGAATCCCAGTGTATAGCACTAAACTTATCTATATTGCATTTATCCAAGAGTATTTAAAAAGCAGACTGGATATATACAGAAATACCAGCTGCTTGTCTCCATGGAGATTATTAGGTTACTGTAAATGCTGTGGAACATCCCAGGTTATCTTCATGTTTGTTGAGACAAGCAGTTGGCGGACCTTACACCAGTAAATGTTACAGAATTTGTTATAGAATTTGATTATGATTGTAGGTTAATGTGAAACTGATTAAACTGATTAAAATGTAAATCGAGGTATTTTTTCATTTCCAGTTAAACTGGTTCTAGTAAATGGCATTAACCATTGCAGCCTCCCAAAACAAGTCAAAGCCTGCACTTGGGAAAAGAATATCATCACTAATTACATAGGGAATGATATCAGATAATGAATGTGCCACTTTTCATTCATCTGTATTAGTTCTACATTTCTGAACTCACGTAATCTTAGTTTTTTTTTAAATTAGCATGACAAGTCTGTTGTTGTGTTGTATTATCAAATATTTATTTTTGCATTTGCAGCATCACAACCTCAACACCTGTATGAAGATTGCCATGACAATTGGAGGAGTGAGCTGTAACGTTCAGGTTCTGTTCAATGAGCTCAACTGCAGAATCCCTAAAGGAGTCGACATTCCAGCTGAAGGGCTGCCAGTCCAAGTGAGAGTACATCAAAACAACAAAACATTAAAAATCTGAAGCGATACTACCCTGAAATATTGCAATGTTATTGAAATTAAATAGAATTGGACATTAAAAGTCGCTCAAAAATGGTCAGCATTGGTACATTTACATGGGCAGGAAAAATCTGAGAACTAATAAACCGATAAACTTTATGGTGGAGGATATGCCACTAGCTTGGTTCCATGGAAATGTGACTGCTTTGTCTGCAATGTTCCACTGTATGGCATTAGACATATCTAGCTTCCATTTTATTCAACTACTGTTGAATAAATGCATTATTGTGAGCAGGCTTGCCTACACTTGTAGTGGCATCACCTGCTTCTAATAATAATAATAATTCATTTTATTTAACACCGCCTTCCATGATGCTTTAGGACATTTTACAAATGCTTAAAAAGACAAAAAATGCAAGAGGTAACACATAAAATCAACAATACAGACTGCTTGTCTCTATAGAGCTAATAGTTAAGTTTAATGCCATACTGTGAAACATTACAAACAAACCATCACATCTTTACAGGGACTTTACAGGTGGCGGACCCCCACAAGAAAAGTAGTGTTTCTTTATTACCTTGTTATTTTATGCAATAGGCTATTTAACCCACTGTCTGCTAATTAGAACGTTTTAAACAGTACCTTAACTCTTCTATGTATATACCTATTATTTTATTCATAATAGTTTATTTATTTAAACTACAACCCATTAAACCTGTTTTACTGATGCAGGTAATTGTGAATGGAGAAGTCCATAATGTGGGGACTGTGCTTATCAATAAACGGGACAAAAGCACAATGATCGCTGGAGTGGTTCTGGGGATAATCGCTGCTTTAGTCATAGGAGCTGGCCTTGCATTAGCTGTCATGATCCATTTGAAAAAGAAGAAGAGAGGTAAGGTTATACTTACTGTGTAATTCACATGTTTTATGTGTTATGTGATATTTTCTGATTAGTTTGTATTTGTGTAATTCCAGCTAATATTGAGAATCGCTTGTCCACAATGATTTCTCGGAGCCGGATGGGCAGCAATTATGATTTCTCCCCAACAGGTGACTACAGACGAGGTAGACGTTTCTGTATGTTATCATCCTTTGATAACACTAACAATTCATGGATTAACTTATTACTAATCATTCAAACATCACCCTTAATACACTAAACTCAGTCTATTTTAGATGCAAGTTTATTGCATCTGCCATCCATGGGTTTCAGAGTGATGATGGATTAGTACCTTTAATGCCATAGAAATTAACATTTCAAAACAAAATATGCAAAAACAATGTTCACTGGGTCATATGGACAGTAAAAAGAAAAAATGTCAAGTGACTATTTCAAAATATATTTTGGTCATCAACATGTCATGTCGCCTGTGAACAGGAAGCTATAAACTCATGATTATATCAAGAATTGAGAATTGAGAATTGAGCAACTATTTCCACTTTCATCATATAATTTTGGATGTTTTTGTTATAATTCTTGTTAGGAATTTGGTGTATTTTGTATTAACAGCATGCCCCCTTGTGTCTCTTCCTTCCTGTGCTGCAGTAGATCTGGCCAGTCAGACATCAGGCTCAGGTATGGCATTTCAGGGTTTATTGTATGCTGCCAGCTATGACCACCTGGCAGTACCTCTGATGCGGGACATCTCTATGGTCAGTGTGAGCGCCGAGATGCTGGAGGAGGTCAAAGATGTGCTCATCCCTGCAGAGATGCTCAGAGTGGAGACCGACCAGATTATTGGCAAAGGTTTGTCGTCATATACTTTGTATATAATAATACATGGAAAAGTGTATATAATAATATCTGGAAAAGTGTGCTACGTAAACTTTCCGGTGTGAGGTGTGCTACTTTATTGTTTCCAAGGAAATGGTATTGGTTTGCTGGAATGTTCTACAGTTTGGCAATAAAATATAAAAATTTTTTATTGCACAACAGTCCCTTGAAAAAGTTGTATTTTGAGCGGCACTAACCTGGTGGCATCGCCTACTTGTTTTCATAGATATATAGGTTCAATACCATACTGTGGAAGGTTCTCAACAAAGTAATGACATCTCCATATAGACAGGTGGTGGACCCTTCGCCAGACTGTCAAAGATATTTAAAAGACACAGAGAGGGAAGAGAGCATCTGCTATTTTGTCAGAAATAACTTTTCAAATGCTTATCAGTATTCTAATGTACAGAGGTATTTTGCATATTATTGAATGTACTGACAATATTAGCATAAACCTGACAAATACAAACTCAGTACCTCATGCCTACCTAATGCACACAATCTTCTGTTTTTGAAATGCAGGACACTTCGGCACAGTCTATCATGGGTACTTGATTGACAGCAACAAACAGGAGACCCACTGTGCTGTTAAATCACTCAACAGTAAGTATCCAAGTTATCAAAACTTATTTCTTCTTATTTATTTATTCGTAAAGGGGCAGCTGTAAATATGTAAAGATGGCCAGCATGGCTAATTTCTCTATTCAGGCCCTCAGCAGGTTGATGTCAAATCTACAGGACAGAGAAAAGTACAGCAACAATAACACAAATGTACATACCAGCTGCATACTCACTATACATCTAATTAATTTCAGATAGTTCATTTGAAATTTGAAATCAAGAGTTAAACCAACGACCCCTCAATATCATAAAAAATTTAATTTTGTTACACATGGTGACATATTTGACCATTGCTCAACCACTTTAGAAAATGCTGCCAGTGTTGAAAGCTTTCGTATATGAGCAGGCACAGTATTCCATGTTTGACCTGTTCGATAAGCAAAAGAGAGCTACCCAAAACTATATTATACGCTATAGTCAAACCAGTTTATAGAAAGTTATCTATTGTTTGAATAGGAATTTCAGATCCCAGAGAAGTGGACCAATTCCTACGGGAGGGAATAATAATGAAAGCCTTCCATCACCCAAACATCCTCTCTCTACTGGGCATCATGCTGCCTAAAGAAGGGCTTCCCCTGGTGGTGCTGCCGTATATGAAACACGGAGATGTGCGTCACTTCATCCGGTCAGAGAAAAGGGTGAGGATTGTGCTACGTAACGATGACTATACAGTTTTACAGATAACACTGTGGAAATCCCATAACTACTCATTTTGCTCTACAGAACCCCACAGTGAAAGATCTGATAGGGTTTGGGCTACAGGTGGCTAAAGGAATGGAGTATTTGGCCCAAAAAAAGTTTGTTCACAGAGACCTGGCGGCACGAAACTGCATGTAAGTCAATCAGTCAATCAATCAATAGGTATTACTTTTATTTATATAACCATTTACAACAATCATGTAACTAACCTTCCAATTAAATAAAATGTTTGCAATAATCAGACAGTTGCTATATTTATTAAACTAAACTACCCCTGTCTTATGCATGGTTAAAAGTTTTACAAGTGGCATCCATTACAGAAAAAAAATAATGTAGCTGCAATCCAAAAATAGTTTTCACTAAAACATAATAATTGGAATGATTGGTAAAATGTAATTAATAATTGTAATTGTAATTAATAAATCTATTTATGCCCAATGTCCAAATCTCCAGGCTGGATGAAACTTTCACAGTGAAAGTAGCAGACTTTGGAATGGCAAGAGACATCTATGACAAAGAGTACTACAGTATACAGGATCACAAGAGGGTCAAGCTACCAGTGAAGTGGATGGCCATTGAAAGCCTCCAGACACAGAAGTTTACCACCAAATCAGACGTGGTGAGTGTACCTTTTTCTTATGTCATCTCATCCATTATTCCATCTAAAATGCAGGGACAATTTATTCGCAAGGAAGGCATTTTCCTAGTAGTTTAAACATTCAATAAAACAAAGGTGTTTTTATTTATTTTTATTTGTGTAATCACACTATTGTGTAGTTTAAACATGTTTTGGCTCTTGTTTACATTATGGTTGCTATAACAGGTATGGATTACCTCTACGTATGTCATATCTGCTGTCCATGTCCACAGGAAGTGAAATTATAAATGTAATCAAATTTGTCAAAATATATGCAAAATTAGTTGTAATGTCTTAAATATTATTATGTGAATAATTTTTTAGAGAAATTATTTGTCTAATCTGTCATATGGGTTTTAAATGCAGCTTTGTAGCAACATATGTTTTTGTGTTGCAGTGGTCATATGGTATCCTGATGTGGGAGCTGCTGACCCGAGGTGCCAGCCCATATCCAGACGTGGACCCCTATGACATCACTCGTTACTTGTTAAAGGGACGCAGGCTTCCTCAGCCTCAGTTCTGCCCTGATGCATTGTAAGAATATTACACTTTTTTTTTTTAGCAATTTCCCTTCTTGAGTGTGTGCCTAGTGACTGTGTAATAGAAATGATTGCTATCTCTTGATTTCATTGGGATGGGAGGTAGGACTGTGCAATCGTTTCCAACAGATAAAGAGAAAATCTAACCAGGCCAGTATAGCCTCTTTTTCTCAAAAATGAGGTGAAACTAGTCTGGTTTGGCATGTAGTTTCAGAAGAATTGCAGTGGATACTAACTAAAATAATTAAAATGTTGTAAGCTTCTTCTAGTTTATATTTTTTGAATGAGGAGAATATGAAACCAGATTTTACATTATTTTTGTATTTTTAAATGAGAGCCTAAATTGTTTCTTCGAGAGAGAAAATTTATTTTACTTTGGTTAGTTAGACTGCAGCAGCAGAATTGTTATGGCCAAACCCTTTTATCAAATAAATATAATATTAACTTAACTTATATAGTGCATTTGGATACTCAAAGTCATAACAAAACAAGAATGATGAAGATAACCCAAGAAATAACAAGCAGTTTTTTTTTATTTATTTATTTATTTTTTTTATCAAATATTATAAGTTTAGTCCCAAGTTCCTGATAAAGAGTTTTAGAGGGTGGGGCTGCTGCAGTTAAGCCTCAGTTTCTGTGGTCTCTAAAATATTTTCATTTTGAAATCCATCTTTTTTTATTCCAGATACATCCTGATGTTGATGTGCTGGGACCCTGAGCCAGACCACAGGCCCTCCTTCCACAGCCTGGTGTCAGAGGTTCAGCAGATCCTGTCCTGCCTGCAGGGGGAGCACTACATCAATCTGAAAGTTACATACATCAATCTGGATGAGCCCAGACCGTACCCGCCCGTGACCGACTCCGCTGACGAACTGGAGGAGGACTCTGACAGGGACTCAGACAGAAATGGTCCAAGTGAGGACTGAAGACTATAGCTCCATTTAAAGCTACATTATGCCTCTGGTGGAGCTTTCGAAAAATTTGTTTTTAGTCTGGAATTTGCCACAGGTTGCCATAAAACATAAAACTGTCTCCAAGGTAACAAACAAATGAGGCAAGCTGGTATTTTTTGGCAATAACACCTGTAATTGAATAAATGCACGATGGATGGAAGTATGCTACCATACTGTGGAACATTCAAAGCAAAAATGTCCATTAGGCTTTGCAAGTGGCAGACCCTCCACCAGAGAGGTTTCCTGGTGCTCTTTTAATTTAAATGGTGACAGTTAAATTGTTGTGGTGTGATCAGATATACATCAGAATAATGCACCTTAGCACTAAAAGATCAGGTTTTTCTGTGGGGGTTTATTTTTTTGAATCTTGAATCTGAAAACAACCAATGGTACAAGGACCTTAATGCTATTATGTGCCAAAAACACTATGAGACTATTTTCTCCAGAGAAATCACTTTGTAGTGTTTAAAAAGTGTAAAAATGGACAAAATGAATGTATTGTGTATCAAATGTGTGTAAATAGAAAAATCTAGATATTACCTAAGTTAACTATTATAACAAACCTGTGAAGACTTCCTTAGACTTACAGGCAAAGTTAAGAGTCAAAGGGATGGACTTCTTTTTGAAATACTTTTCTTCCACATCTTATAATTTATGAAGAAGGTTTATTTAATGAAATTTAACTGTCATCAGGTCCCTAGGTTAAGCTCACTGCCACATGTCATGCTTGATGATGTAATGACTGTTGGCTCAAAGATCAATTTTGAAATTGAGGTTTTATTGTTACACAAAATGGAACTTTACAGTCTTGTGTAACTTAATAATCGTGAACTCTTAAAGAGCAGCTGTTATAAATCATAAAGAACTTCACTTGGCACATTGTAGGCCTTGCAGGGCTATCATTGGAAACCTTTCAGTTCAGTCAGTTTAGTCATAATGTCTGAACTTTTATGTATATATATATTTTTAAAGGTATAGCATAATATATTTTCATATTTTTCAGGGGGGGATGTGGGTTGAAGAATAACTGGACTCAAACAACTGTTGATCTTATATAAACCAAAGCTCATGGTCCACCACTAGAGGGTGTCCTCACTGCAGCATCAGCACTGAGGTCTGCTGCAGTGAGGCTGGGCTCCACAAACAGGTGTTACACAAACACTGTAATAATTTCAACGAGTGAAATTCAGCATTCCCCTGCTGCAATAGTCATTCATTCATGATTCCATTTTAATGAAATCATATGAAACCTAACGTTGCAAATGCACTGATTTTTTTGTTTTTGTTTTCTATAAAGGACTTTTACACGGTACTGTGTATGACTTAAAGGGAAAGGTTATGTGTGTGTTATTTTAATGTATGGCAGTTTCATTGTAATGTAGTTTAGGACTTCAACAGAATGCTGTATTTGATTAATCAAAAAAAAAAAAAAAAAAAAAAAGCAAATGCTGCATTAATGAGATAAGATGTACAGTTTATGTAATAAATAAGGTTTTTATGTTCTTTATGTGAAATGAAAAGTTCTGTCTTTGAAACTGGGCCCAGTGCACTTGCCCTGCCTAACCCCCATAGTTACAGGTTTCAAGGAGCAGATTATTAAACGCATTGTATATGACTGCTCACAAACTGAACAGAATAACACACATATTGTTATCTTCTGTAGAAACATACAGTATGCAGTTACAAGGTTTAGATCCAGTTACATAATAGTTAGGTTCCATTTCAGTGTATAATTGACAATCCTATGTCATTTTTATATCCATTTTAAATTTGCATTTGGCAAATTTGGATTTAATATGCAGTTCATGAAAATAAAGCCCTTCAGTTTATCAGTTCAGTGAAAAGGAATATTTCTGTCATTGACCATTGCCAGTCTTAGTTTTAATTGTTTTGTGGAGTAAAATCACTTAACAAATAGCACCGGGCATTTCAATCAAATTTTAAAGTTCATTATGTATAACTAAATAGTTTGCCTGTGCAGTAACATAGGCACGATGAGGTGTGATTGAATAATCATGAATACATGAACAAGCCACCTCAGTCCAAACTCTCATTTACAAGTTTTACCCATTGATTCTCATTATACAGAAAATATTTTCAGTTCTCTACTCTTTCCCTCAAATCACATCATGCAGTAAGTCCAGAGTCAGGAGGGAAGTGCGCTCCTGGAGTCGAGAAGTCTGGTCTAATATTCCTTTTGTTGTCCTCCTAGTGTATACTATGTTTATGAATATTTTAGATTTCTATTATACTATGAGCTCTCTGAAGAAGTCCTCAGGAGCAATATATGAACGAACAATTCTCATACAGCAGCTGTTGCGTGAGCCATGACGAACTGGACAATAGCAAAAATAGATTTCTGCAGTGCAATGTCCCAGAGTCTCTTTTACTTAATGTACTGAGTGAAATGTACTGGAGTTCCTGGATGCTTCACCGTAAATGTAATATGTAATAAACTGTAGGCCAAATTATTGTTCAGAGCTAAGGAAACATGTTAAAATTCAACATTGCCCCGAGTGTCTACATATACTGGTGTATGAGTGTGTGTGAATGGGTGATGTAAAGTGCTTGGAGTGCCTTGAAGATAGAAAAGTACATTTAGGATTTAACATTCCTGACAAGCAGGTATCGAACTCTTAACCAGAAAAGTTATAGTACATGTCTTATGTTCAGGGGAAACAGTGGCTTAGGGATTAGAGTGGTGGTCCAAATGCTTTATCATTATTATTATTATTATTTTTATAGATTGTTTTAAAGATTGTTGACTGTGTACGATTGAACTGAAGGTTTTGCATGACTAAAAATTAAAAAAAAAAAAAAATTACTGTAGTGGGATAACAACATGATAAATGTAAAAATGTTTATAAATGTTGTGACAGCTGAAAAACAAAGCGTGTATTTGTAATGAGAGGGTATAAGTCAGTGCACTGTCAGTTAGCCTGTGTGCCTGGTCGGAGTCGGACAGTGGATTTGTGCAGTGCAGCAGCAGCTCATGTGAAAGTGCCTGGAGCAGTGAGCGCTGCCCTGGGCTCAGTGTGGGCCGCTCCAACCTCATCCTCTCTCCTCACTCAAACCTCCGTCGTGTCTCTACTGGTTTAAAGTTACAGAAAATATATACACGTGATTGTTAGAAATACATTGTTGGCTATAATTCTGTTTGGCGCTGGCAGAATAACCAATGGCTATTTAGTCTTTTTTTTTTTTTTTTTTTTTTAAAGCTACGATCTGTAATTAGACTGACCTACCCGCCCCTCTTGTATTCTCAAATGTCACCACTAGATGCTACATTACTGTAGTTGGATAGTATGTTAGCTTTGAACGAACAGAAGGAAACTAGAGGAATGTACTATGCAGTATGGCATGGCTTTCATTTATTCAATTACTGGTATATGTTTTTAAAAAAAAACAAAAAAAAACATGCATTCTTACTGTAACTCACCTCTTCACAGATCAGACCTAACGGTCTGGTGGTTTATTATTGTGAAATATTCCTGGCAATGCAAACATCTCCATGGAGACAAGCAGGTGACAGGCCCTCAACCAAAAAGTTATGTAGTGCATCTTTAAAAATGTTCAAAATAAATTCAAATATAAGTTTGTTCCTATTTAATTAAAGAAAACTTGTACCAACTTTTGAACACTGATCTGGGCATTTATCTTACTAATTTTGTGAGGTGCCTGTAAATTCCCTACTGTTTCAGTCTGAGTAGAATGATGAAGAAGTGATGAAATGCTGTCACTGAGGATACATGTGATAATAGTCACTTGCAAAGCCTATAACTTATCATTGCTGCAATATTAGAAGCAGAATTTGACCATTCATTTCCTGTTCCTATTTATGTAACAGTCTTCATTCTTAAAACTCTCTCCTCCACCTCCAAACATGGCATCAGTGTTGGTGTTTGTCTGTAGCTGTAGTCTTCCCTACAGTATACTGTGAAAGTCTGCAGTCTCCATCCTTGAGCCTGTGTCCCATGACACAACAGGGTCAAGGATGACTCCCAACAACCATCAGAATGAAAAAAAGAATAATGAGTAGATTCATTTGTGAAACATATGGGGTTCAAATTATATAGAATTTAGCACAAAACTATTTGTTGTCTGCTCTGGGCACATATAGGATCATAATGGAGATACACAGAATTCGATTCTGTGAAAATCAATGCACTGTAATACACCTAATCTAAATCTGCTCCTAATTTGTCCTCAGTTTATGTAACATGTTCTTTCATTCTTAAAAGTCTTCCCAACATGTGTTCAGTGTTTACTTCCTGACTGCAGCGCGCTTATATTGTGAATGTGATCTGCCTGTATCCTTGAGCCTGTATTTATCAGAGTGGATGAATAGAAGTCAGTGGCTGAGCGTGCTTGGAAGCAGTGTGTCGTGTCTCTGGGAGCGCGGCGGAGGAGCTGGGGGTCGCAGATGGACACAAGTGTTGTGTTTGTTCCTGTGTCAGTGAATATCTCCACAGATGGGAGAATTATTACATTCAAAGGCGAAACACTCAAATCTGCAGAGCAATGAAAAACGCTTTAGAGGAAGGCCATGGCGCACACACAGCTACTGTACTTGTTAAGATTTTTTTCTCTCACCATCTTGTTGTGAAAGAGCCAAGCAGTTTTGTGGAACCAAAATGCATACTAAATGACTGTAACACATCTTTCTCATGCACATGTACTGAACATAGGCACATTTGTTACATAATAAGCAACTACAAGTAACTTTTAAATGCTATACGTTATATCTGATCATATTCACCTGCACATTTATTACATAACAATGGACTTATTAACATTATTATTAAACAGGACTATTGTATTGCACAATATTAATTAAACACATTTTTATCCTTTTGGTGTCTTCAGGTTTGGTAAAGAAGGTCACTCAGTGATTTTTTATTTTATTATTTTTTCTATTTTCACACAGGAGTCTTTGCCTATCCCTAAGCTTGACTGGGAAAGGTTAGACACAATGATAACATGAAAATAGGAACCAATCTAGCAGTTCACTTGTTTTCATACATGCATACGCCTCAACTTTGACAAAATGACTAAACCGAGAACTAAACATAGACTAGACCAGGGGGGTGTTCCATCAAACTCGTCTAATATGTCTATGCTTATCCTGAATTCCTGAGCTGAAGCTAGCTCCATCTCCAGTTTAAGCCTCAACTCGTTCCATGACAGAAATAATCCGGAGTCAGACCAAAGCCAATTCAGGCCTGAAATGTAAACTGCATTTTGTGCGCACTCCCAATGACATCACGGAAAATGGGCCAAAAACCTTGATGTTTTTTATGATCTTACTAAACGAGAGAGGAGCCACAGCGCGCAACTGCAGAGTTTGATTTGGGCCACGGAACTTTTCCGCTCATTCTGATCTGAGGAGCAAGATCAACCCTTTTGACTATACTGTTTCTTTAGAAGTTCTTGGAGACAAAGCTAAAATAATCTAAACAGTTAGTCTGGTCCTGACCATGTTTGTGCCAGGGTGCTTGTTACCACGGCAACTCATCACCACTTCTGGTCAGTCTTTTTGGTGGAACAGAACTGAGGCTTTGACAAGCCTGGATTGCCTAAATAAGCCAGGCTTTTGCTTTAGCTCGCTTCATGGCAGGGATGAACCGGGACCACAAAACGGCTTTGGACTTTTCCCCCACAAATCATTCTTATCAGTCTGCTTAAATGAATTCAGACTTACACATGTAATCTTGGTCCTCTAGTTGGTGGAAGCAGGAGTAAAATATATGAAAAACTGCACCTACATTACAAATCCTGTTTCTTTATTAGTTGACCAGTTGTTGTTGCTTTTACTCCATGAGCCTGAGTGCACTGGTTTTGACAGAAGTATTTTGGGTGACACTGACAGAAGAGATACTGACTCACTGTTCACAGGTGAAAGGTGGAACTAGAGACAGATATAGAAAAGTCAGCATGGTTCTCACTGCCAAAACTTCACCAAAATCTACACTACAAATAATAACAATAATAAGGTATGACTAGCCCATTAAACATTCAATTTTAATTAAATAAGTTCACATTTTATATAATAGTCCTAAAAATTACCAAATGCAGGACAGCACGCACAAAGATTTTAAAATAATGACCTGTAAGAAGATCGGGAGGTGATGCCATGGTCATGTTACTGGTCAGATCACAAGTGAGGTGGTCCTGCTCACTCTATACATTTTTAAAAGCCCATTATCTTACTGTGAAACATTCCAGCCAAAGCAGTGACTGCATTTCCATGAAAAAGAGAAATTTACATAGTGCACCTTCAAATTGAGATCTCATTTTTGAAAAGAACATGACGTAGACTGACCTTTGTTACATGTCTCCTCTTATTTCATTGTCATTTTCACCAGAAACATTAAGCCAAAAGTTATTTCAAAGTTAGTCCATACTACACTACTGTATATGCCTTTCATCATTTAACTGATGAAGTTCTAAAGACTGAATAATGTAATTGATTATGTAATTAAGACTGAGGTATTCTATGATCTGACAAAAGCCTAAGTGG